GCGCGCGCGGGCTTGACCCATAATTCCGGATAACTGCTATATAATACGCGTAATAGACGCAATTATTGCGACGCGACTCGCGCGTCGCAATTAGCGTCGCGGTTTAAGCTCCATGCACGTGAGGATTGCAATAAATAAAAATCTCACCGCAGGCGCGACGTAGTCTGCGCGACGTAGTCTGCGCGCCGCCGCTTGCGAGAATTTAGTGTATCGCTTATGAATGTGTTACACCTCTCTCGCTCGTTTCTGCCGGGTTCATTCACTCGCGCGAGCGGAGCCCACGCTCCTCTCTCTCTCTCTCTCTCTCCTCTCCTTTTCTCCTTTCCACTCGACCTGCCTTTTACTCGTCCTCTCTCTCATCGTGATTATCAAGCCACGGAGGCTCGCGAAAGGTGCAGGTACAAGAAACAGTATCGGATTCGCCAAACGGTCGGGTCAGTAATCGGCTACCAAACGAGCCTCGAAGAGGATCTCTAAGGAGCTTTTTTAAAGAATGAAAGATAATGTATAATAATTACAAAAAAAATAATAAAAAAACTATATATTTTCCCGCATTTGCCGGCTTATTACATGAGTGTCTCGATATCAGAGGAAGAAAAATAATCGCGAATTACGACTGCATTTTTTTAGCAAATATATTATTTTTCAAGAATCTCTCGGGTAATTAAATAATTGTTACGATCAAATTAGATATAATTAGAACATATGGAAAATATGTTAATATAATAATGGGTTTGACAGTTAAATAACGAGAAGCCGAGAAAGAAAGCCACGTCGGCGAGAAACTCTTCGCGTAACGCATGCATGTAGGCGCGAGCGTACGACTTTTGCCAGGCAGTGGCCATAAAAAGGCACGCAAAACGCACGCGTGCATGCGCGGTGTCGCATGGAGAGATGTTAAAACGGGCGACAGGCGAACGAGCGTTTGAAATACCAATAACTCCGAGTGGTCTCGGCGATATTGCGACCGCGACAGCCTTTAACGCGAATATGTATACGCGTTAAACATGTGGGTTCTAGCAGGAAACCCGATTGCAATAATAACGTGCGGATATGGCGATTATGCGAGGCGATATGATGCAGCGCGCGCTTCTTGCGATATAGCGCGATATTATACTTAATCAAACCTCGCGATCGCGATTTCTTAATAGAATGCTGACATACTGAGATCAGATTAGTTTTCCTGATAGCGCAAGTGTAATTTGTTGAGAATTATATTCACGTCAGAGCTTGTCTCGCAGGTGATAGACACGGTGTAGATTGGATTTCTTTCCTGTTTTGAAGGTATTTTTCTTATTACAAGAACGCAAGGGATCCTATATTGACATACTAGCTTCATATTGACTCTGCTGGCTTTACAAACATGTAGAACTTAGTCCTTCGAGAGAGAGAGAGTTTCTCGTGATAGCAAGGTACCAAACTAAGCACTTCCATTTCGTACCGCGTTTATGAAGATTATTGATTTTCCCCTTTTCATCTCGATTCTGATTCCCGCTTGATTCCGTTAATGAGAATGTCCTTGTAAAGTCAGCGACTTTGTAGAATCTAAGAAAACTTATGTAATCACTGCGTGCGATCACTTGATACGGCCTCTGTAGAAAGAAGCACAAGAGCTCATTAGCATTCAGGTTAAAGACCAAGTGCAGCATTTGTACACAAAACTGTCGGCTACTCAGACATCATTCCAGACTTCGTCGGATTAAGGCCAAAGTAGTCTTATTGCATAACGGTGGAGTGAAACGACTGAACAGAACAAAAGACCGTGAAATGACACAGAGTCAAAGAATGTATATATATGACTAATAATTTTCGCGAAATTGTGCTTGCATCAAGCAATCATTCTACTGGCAAAATTCTCGTGAATTCTCGTGGCAAAAAATAACACAATTTTCGAAAAGTGTAAGTGCATAAATAATTTCAAAAATATATATATAATGCCAAATTTAACATCCAAGGAGGATTTAAATACGCTATACCACGTCTAAACATCTCCAGCCGATAATTTTGTATAAGATAGTAAGATAAGATAGTTGTATAATTTCGCAAAGTATAATTTTCCACATATTGAATTGCAGATTGAAGCGAAGGATTACTAAGGCCATGAAGAAATTTAAACGAAGGGTGTTAGTTACACCTGTACGTGTTTTCCGCGAAACTCGATTTCGAGACGTCGAGCTATTATTTCCAGCAGCGTTCGATCTCAATCGACAACAAAGGGAAAGTGGAGAAATTAGCCATAAATTTTACCGAGCGTGCTTTTAGTGCGTCTCTAACGTCGAAACGCCATTAAAATTGTGTTTTGTGCTGTATACACTTGTGTTTTCTGCACAAAGAAGCTTAGCGAGAAAAGATAAAAGATCGCTGGAATGTTAAATTGACAGCGGTGGCCCGACACTTTCCTTGCGAGATTATCTTTGCTAATCGTCGAAATTAGAATACACAGTGACGCGCAAGAAACGATGGCACGTGTTGCGAAGTATCGCATTGTTCTTTAATATAGGAAATTGAGGTGAAGAGCCTAGCTTCGCGCCTATTTACGATTCAAATGAGCTCGGCTGAGAGCGTTACGTATTTAAATCTATGCAGCGTTCTACAAACTTGAATGACTGCGAGTATTATTTGCTAAAAGAAAACAGATACGTACACAAAGGGGCATTTAAAAACCGATTACTCTGAGACTTGTTATCGTAGAGGATAATGCCGAAATTACTTCTGATATTCTCACGAGGAGAGAGAATAGTTCTTATAGACATACAGTTATTATTTTACACCTCAGATAACGGTGACTGCTGAAGAAAAATACGCATGCACTTCAGTTTGAGCTAGCTATTATTATATTAACGATATTATTTAATTTGAATTAAATAATTAAGCACATCGTCTCCTCTCTTCCATCATTTATTTATTGACTTCTTCTTTCATTGAATCAGAGATGTATAAAGAAAGATATTGTATTTTACAATCATAATTTTACACAAAATGTAAAAACGAAGATAAGACAGACGTGATAAACAAGTGGAAAATCCATTAAATACCCGTCTGTGGTATGATAAATTTCTGATCATTTGAGATCAGATTGAGGAAACGAGCTAAAGAGCTTGAGGAAAAACATGTATAAAAAAATCTTGATTATTGACGGAAATATGTCAATTTTTAAGTAATTACTGCCTACGCGTCACGGAGCAGTACCCTAGGCGTGCGCGCTCGCGCTCAATTGTACCACAAGACAAGTTCAGACAAGTTCAAAGGTTCAATTGTTTTAACGATACAATTGATGGAGCCATACCGGCATTTCAGAAGAGAAAAATGGTTTTTTGGACGCTGTAGTTTGTGCGAGCGTCCAATTAAAGATGCCACTAGAGCAAATATAGAAGCCCACTTGATGTGGAAGCACATACAACAATTAGATAAAATAAGAAGAGACGTTGAGCTTGAATGGTCTCAACATTTTGACTTTAAAAACAAAGATGCTTTTGTAAGATGCAAATTGCAAAAGTGCGAAACTGAACAAACAATTAGATGGTATGAAACTGATCTCATGAAACAACACGTAGATCAAGAACACAGGTAATTCACATACACAAGTAATTATAATCTTGTAATTTTAATTACAAGTAGTTGTATAGTAGTTTTACTATTTTTTAATCTTTGTTTTAATACGTGCAGATCATCCAACATGGGCATGGTCCAACATGAACCATTTATACGCAATGTTACGCGTACGACAGAAGTTTGAAGAGATCGCGATATATCGCATTCATGAATTTTTAATGTTGGTTGCTACACTGTATAACGGTGTAGGATTCACGTTAAAGATGGATTACCAGGTCAAGTGCATTACAAATTGAAAATACAGATTATTAAAGAAATTAATAGAAAAAGAAACACAGTTACTCACCAAGGTGGATAGACGCCGCGCGGCGACGCGCCTCCCGCTCTGATCTGCTCGTTAACGTAGCCGCTTCTAGGCACGTTAAGGGCGCTCCTGATGCCCACGCTGGACCCATCTAGAGTCCCGGGTCCGGGCTTGGGCACGTGACTGCTGCAGTACACCTCCTTGTCGTTGATCGTGTGCTGATTGTTGTAGTAGGTCTTCAGGGTGAGCTTGGTACCGCAGATCGCGCACTTGAAGCAACCCGCGTGGAAAAACGTGAAGTCCTTCAAGGGACCCACCCTGTCGACCTGATAGACGGTCTGAGCGCATCTCAGACACGTGCTCTCGTAGAAGTTCGGCCGATACATGATACCCGCGCCTCGACGCACCGCCTTATTGCCAAAGTATCCGGTATTCTCTTCCCGCGGACCGGAGTCCTCCGGGCTCCTCGTCCTGATCACCGCTCGCTGCAGTCTTCTCGTACGGCGCAGTGTTTCGCTCTCAATACGTGGGACCTTGAAAATTAAAGGCCTCGATCAGGGAATAGAGAAATTACCTCTCACCGCGCCGAGATAAATACAAGGCGACGCCGGCGAGACAAATAACTGGGCATTACGGGCTGTTTAGAGATTGGCGCATGACTCACGTACCATAACCGTACATTTCTAATTTCTCTTTGATTTTTCTTTCGAAGAAAGTGTCGTAAACCGATCTATTCCCCGTTCCTAATCATGAAAGTTTATGTGCGAATGAAATTTAATTCCTAGTCATGCGCTAAGTGAATTTGTTATATCACTGATATATGTATATTCTAATATTAAGAAAAAAATACAAAACAAAATTATTGCTATCAAACAGGTGTAATTAAAACGGGAGAATTTGTGTTTAATTAATCTTGATGGAGATAACGGAACAGCAAGTTTAGAAGGATGCATTTAATTCTATATATTTCTTATACCGTCTATACTTTGAGTCTGCTAGTTGATACTTTTGTATGGCTTCGAAATTACTTAAGCCAAGCCGCTGGTATGCGTTTAATAATCTCTTTTCGCACACCGGATATGAATGCGCGAGATGCCGAAGGTGGGAATCAAACGCACGTGAAGGAATTATACGCAATAATTAGTTTGCAACTGTTAATTACGCCGGCGTGGCGGTCTTCTCAGCGTTCGTAACACGCGAACGTGGCTCGTTTTACGCTCCAATTCGACAATATGTAGTTAGTTTTCTTCCCGGCGAGCCCGAATTGCGCACCGTTATCGCGTGCAGCTGGGATTTATCGTGGAATTTCTAATTCTATCGGCGTATCCTTCGTATCGTATGCGTTGCCGAGTACGTCTTCTTGGTACGCTTTATGAAGGGGGAGGTTTTGAAAGAAAATATCCGTCCTAGGATCTGTAGAATGAAGGTACACGGGGCGAGCCTGTGCACCGCCGACACTTTCCTGCGAAATTTTGCAACGAATCATTGCCAATACCTCGCCGAAGTGGGCGACTAAAGATGCAATTGCAACACCTTTAATGACAGCGATATGCCTACGGTAACGTCGACGCGAGATTTTCCCACGTATCGTTCGGCTCCACGAGCACTTAATCGAATTTCTATCACGCGTTTCCATATTAATATACGACTACAGATCTGTTAATGCATCATCTCAGCTGTTGCTTTTTCATATTTCAGAGCCTGATAATTATATATTATTAAATGCGCTTAAGCGGGCAAAAATGTAAAGCCATATAAACGATAAATAAGAGCTATGCTGAAATCTCGCGCACGGAGAGTCAACATACTCTGCCTCGAAAAATAATTCGTTATCGTTCCATAAATTGATTTCTTTTCCAATTTATTTGGAAAAAAAAATTTATCCTCGAAACAGGTTCGCAGTTGTTAATCCTTCGCGAAAGACCGAGCTGGTGGAAAAGCACAGTGTATAGCTACCTAAATTGGCTGAACGCACTACTTCTTGCATCTATCTGACCGCAATGCTTTCTAAATTCTTATAGTATACCGCCACCATCACAACTACCAGCAACCAAATAAGCATCATTTAGAACTGATATTTTATAGGCTAAATTATTTCTCGACTTTCCCCTCGTCGCTGAGTAGAGTTTTTGAATAAACATTTAGATAGCCAACGGTAAGACAAGGTAACTTTGATTTCATATATACATTTTTTACACAGACGTTCTTCCTTTTTATATAACGGGAAGTGGATAAATTGACATATCGTAAGATAGAGCTAAGATAAATAAATAAATCGAATCACGCGCTCTGTGGAATGCAGAAGTGAAATGAATTACGACAGTGAAATGAAATTGAAATTTCTATCTTAAGGATCGAAAATAAGGATTTAATCGACTAGAAACTCACAGTCGACTTCGCGGAAACGCTCACAGAGCACTCGTGGCAAATTCTGCGTACAGACGGCTGCAGGCCGGGACAATAGACGCTCTTGCGACACGTTATTAGCAACGCATTCATATAACGCGACACGTGCCTAATCTCCGGTTCTCCTTCTCTCTCACGGAACAACGAATCAGGTTTTTCACAGCCAATTGACGGAGGTCGTCGCCCCCGTTTTTCTTTTTTTTTTTTTTTTACTTTCGCGGCTGTAACTTCTAACGAAGTCTTCGCCACGCGATTGAATCCGATCCGTGCGGTAGAGGCCGATCGCGGTCCCGGTGATGACGTACCGATGGAACTTATCCGGAGAGTTCCTCTTTCCGAGGAGCGAGCACGAGGTGCACGTCGCCATATCGGGAGAAAGCATTTTGTACGTACGTACGTCGCCGTGCGTATCGCGGCCCTCGGCATCGCGAGAGTATGAGCTAATTCTTTGTAAATGAGGCCACGGTGTGTACGACCTGCTCTCGCCGCTGCGGGATAGTTCGTTGACTCTCGACAAAATCCAGAAGTGCACCAGAGAGCCGTCGTAAAAAATTTATTTACGGTTTTACACGCTAGGCTTATTTTTTTACGTTTAAACGCGCGACAATCGGCGGGAACGTTCCTTTCTCTACTATTGTTATAGTGAAGCGCCATTAACTCTCCAGTAGGTAAAAATTTAAAAAAATGCGTGGGATGTAAATTACACCCCACCTTATTTATGTTATAAATATTAAACCGATTAATATTTTTGTTTCTGTTTAATATTATTTATTGTCGCACATATCTTAAAGTATATTAACAGGTGGAAACTTTAATTTTAATGTTTTCTTTTATAATAATCGGTTGAAATGACTCCAGAATACTCATTAGGAAAAAAGAAGCCTGGGAAAATACACGCTATGCGACCACTGGAAGGTTAAGTGAAATATATGTACGTATAAGGCGTACGTGGATTTGTCAAAATCTATAATTTAAATATACATTCCGTTGGCACATAAGAACGACCCCGTACACTTGGAACTGTCGGCGGATTCGTCCTTCGCAATTTACTCTCGCATCTCACCGTTTTCGCGTATCGAATTCTCATTTTGTCAGATACTCGATGCGATCGTTACCCGTATGTACGTACAGCTCGAATTATGTTGCTCGAATTTCATCGACGGGCTAATGTTTATGCCCCGCTACCACCGCGCTGTATATAATCCAGCTAGTCTTCGCCGGGTAACTGCCCCGGCGATGGGACTAATAATACGTAATATTGATTATGACGCAACTGTGCCCGATAGCGTCATGCATCGAGTTACCCGCCGATACCTACGGGCCGCCGCGCACAGGTGTAAGTCCTGTTATCCGCTAATAGAATATGATAAATCGACCCCGTCGCAATCCCCCGAGCAATCCCCTTCCTCTCTCCGGTCCTGTGCAATTTTTGACACGTCATCGCGCATCAGCTACGTTTTAATCGGAATGATAATTTTCGTAATGGGACGCTCTATCCCGATTATAATGCCCGTATCTCTGCCTGGCCGAGCAGCGCTCGCTCCCGTAACGGAAATCCTTAACGCGTCTCATTAAGCCGCGCATTTTACTCCGTGCTCGGCGCGCGCCGGCGAAGTGCGGAAATCGTAAAATTCCCATAAATTTCGCCGTCGCGAGCGACTTTTGCGCGAACGACACGCAGGCACGGAGGGATGACTTTTCGAAGTCTCGAGCTGACGACGCGCGGGAGCGCCGAACGAGCATTTAAGCGAATGGATATTGAAGGGAACATCAATCTTGGAAGAATTGACAAATATTCTAGAATAAAAGCGTTCGTCGACTATATTCAGGGGATCTTAGGCCTACGTTCCATTTACTTTCCGTTTGGGTCCGTCCCTGCGACCAGCGGCAGTCGGCGGCTTTGCGTATATACGCCGAGAACACAACGACTCTCCGAAGGAATGCGACCGAGGCGGTACGATTATGGCGAATTGCATAACTCCGGAGCGGAGGAACCGGCCGCCGCCGTCGATGCGATGATCGCGTAATGGCGCGTTGCACCTTTATGAATTATGCGGTCTTCCGGCGATCCGTCGAGGCCGGAGAGCGACGCGTCATTTATCGCGGCGCTCGTTACAAAAAGCCCGATGGCGTAATCGCACCTATATATACACGTACCCACGCAATCGCGATCCGTGAAGAGGCTTCTTCGCGTTGCCGATAAAACTCTCCTCCGGTTTTGATTACGACAAGCCTTGAGATCGGGAGGTCTCCGGACTCCGGAGTCGGCGACGAGACGAGACGAGACGAGACCGAGAGCGGCTTTCGGAGAAGTAAGGAAGAAAGCGAGACGCGCGTCGGAGCTTTGGCGCAACGTAAAAATTATTTACGACATTCCTCGCGTCGTTTATCGCGCGATAATGCCCATTCGAATGCCTGTGTCCCCATTTCTGGCCCACCTTCTTCTAGGCATTTATGCGCGCCGGGCTGCGGAGCCGCACGCACGACGGTCTCGCGCCGCCGCCGCCGTGCCAGTGCCACGCACGCTGCCGCGAGACACGAGAAACTTTATTATGAGGTAAATCGCGGGGAATGCGGCCGCAACTCTCGATTCGGATATGCGCGCGGAACGCTGTTTCGCGAAAACAACGAGATAACGGGACGCGCTGCGCGAATGAGAGAACAAATTGCAGCATTTAATCCCTGTAGATTCTTTTTCGATTCGATTTTTTAAGCAAGGACAAATTTTATAATAGGAAAAAGGTTGCCAGATATTATGCAAGATTTCGTATCTATGAATGTATTTACGTAGCATTATATGGAATCTCGCACAAAAAAGACTTGTGAAAGCGGCGTCGGATCGTTCTAAAATCTAAATGATGTAATTAACGTAAGATTAAATAGAAAAAATATATTGATTATCTCCTAAAATTAATATTTATTTTTATCAATTTAGATTAACTTTACGAAACGTTTCACTTACTTTTTATCTGTTGCTATAGTTCTAAGAAGATAAAAGGTAAGTTAAACCAAGATAGTTAATCTCGGTTTAACTTACCTTTTATCTTATTCTTAGAACTAGCAACAGATAAAAAGTAAGTGAAATCAAGATTAAAGTTCATCTGCACTAATAGAAACGGACATAAGACGTTAAATATTGATTTCATTAATACGATAATACGTATTAACTTTAACTCGTCTGGACTTATAACGTGAAATCAATTAAATTATTTAAAACTCGACCGACATTAATGAGAGAAGACGTTCTTCAATTTCTTTTCCAATTAATTTTCGACGTATGGAATATTGCAAACTCTGGATTTTAATCTTTTGGCTTCTTATTATTGAGCGGCGTTCACGAAGCTATAAAACAGAATTTGACATAACGATACTCCGATCTAAAGTACTTTAAACTTGTAGCGCGAATAAATATCATGACTTGTTCCACGCACGTGTCCTAATTTTGGTCCCACACGGTACTCTCTCGCGTGCCGACAGGTGAAACCGCACCAGCCATCATCGGTGTTATTGAATATCGAATAATTACTGAAACTTGGAGGATATTGTCTAGAGAAATTTCCCAATTATCCGCGAAGATCTGTAAGTAGGCCCGACTTTCTTAATCGATTAAATACCAGGGAATTAACGAGCGCGCCACCGCGAAAAAGTTTCAGAATAATTGATATACACCATCACCAGAAGACAGACAACCATTAATCACAGATCATTCAGCCAATCACAAATACCGGTTGATTCTCTCCTCACACTCGTGCACGACGTAAATTTCTTTCTACACGGTCGTCTGATGTCGAAAATCACAGAATCGCGGAGCGGCAGTTTCGCTCCGGTAAAAGTGGAGCGACTTCTGCTTTTCGAAAATGCGTACGCATCGTCGCGACTTATCCTCGAGCGGCGATACGTACGTCCTCATAATCCTCGCTTCGGCGTCGTCCACGAGCAGTCCCGATGACTTCCGTGACCGCCAGGCATATCTTCTTCTGCCCGTGTGCTCTCCGACTGCCGTCCGGTCCTCGGTGTTTCGCCCTGGGCGCGACCGCTCCGGTCCGGCCAGGTGTGGAAGAATCGCAGGTAACGACCGAGCCTCGAGCACTACGTAACGACCGCGCGCGCGATATCACTCGCGGTCCCCTTCGGTCTACCGATTATTTCCGTACCGCGCATCGAAATCACCAGGCGAACGCCTCGCTCCGTTTCGCGAGCCTCGCGCGCGCGCGCGCGCTCGCTTACTCCGCTCGCTTGACGAGGAGGAATACGGCGAGGAGAAGCCAGTCGAGCGGGTCCACCTGTTTCGCCAGCGATTGTCGCGATATCGATCGCCACTCGTCGACGGAACGTCTCGCGATCGGATCCTGGGAGATCCCCGTCCGATTCGTCTTGGCGGATGGGCCGCGTACTCTCGGGTACTCCTCCACGAGTAACCGGAGTAACTACTCTCGCACGATTACACGCACGACAGCCACTTTCGACCTTCCAGCGCGTACGGACGTCTTGGGTGACACGGTTTCGGCTGTTCGCCACCTGGAATGAGGTCTCGGCACTAAGCGAGGCGGCCGTCGCGGCTCAGATCGGGCCTGAATATCACCACCTGCCTCCGTCGACGTTCCAGGAAGGTCTGAGGTGAGAGGAACGGCCATTTTGAGAGGCACCGACGATGAATCGGCTCAGGTGGCGCTATATGGTTGGAGAACCGACCTGTGCGTCCTACCTGCGTCCTTACCTGCGTAACGGTCACTCTCCCGTGCGCGCTCACCTGGCGAGGACCCGGGATCGTCGCCTGCGACGATGTATGAAACCAGAGATGCCGCTTTTGAGGACAGATTCTTTCCTATTTTCTTTTTAAGGAAGAGAAATTAAAATATTTTTCTATATGCGCGTCAGAAGCTTGCGACCAGAAGAGAAGACCATTACCTGAACGATTGATTAATTATGCCGATTTTATATGAAGAAATTCCGGAAGGATTAGCATCTCACATGAGACTTACAACGATAAAAGATCTTCTAATTATAGATAAAAATACGTTTATAAAAAATATATCGTTCGTAATTCCATGCAAATGATATTATAATCTTCTTAGAATAACTGTATAATTTATTTGCTGTGCGTTAGAGTTATCTCATAATTATGTCGCAACTGCACGTGTAATGACTTAATGTAGTGACTTAGCACGATGATCCGACAGATGTTGCAATAAATATATAGCTACAAGGACCGGTTACGAATACCCTAGACAGAATTGAATAGAACGCGAGCTGTTTACCGGCGCGGCTGCAACTTGTGGATCGTGATTTTGCAAAGGTCACCGTTTTGCATCGGATGTCGTGCGTTTAAAAATGTCTCTTGTATCACACTCGCTTCCTCGGAATCACCATTTCTAGGCAGAAAGTACAAGATCGGCGCGCGTAAGAGCGCGTGTGCGCGCCCACACGGATGCGTGAATGTCGCGCGTACGTGGGAAGCGATTTGCTGGAATAAGGGAAGAGAGCGAAGAGAGAGAGAGAGAAGCAATGATGCAATAGAGGCAATAGAGGCAACGACAGATTACACATTGCCCGACCGTTACCAGAAGTATATACGCTCTGTTATACTCTATTTAGCTCTAACGTTTCAATGCGCCGAGCTCGTTTCCGTGCACATGCGAAGTACACGCCTCGTAAGGCTAAAGGATAATAAGCAACGGCGACGCGGAGCAGCAGGGTCAATTAAGAATCACGCTATAGCTTAAGTCAACGGAATTGTATCGTATCTTCTTATTGGAATGTGATGAGCAAATAACACTTTCGTGTGATGATCCTCTCACGTCAAATGTTCACGGTGACGGTAAAGGGCGTGCCAACAAATTTACCATGTAAATTTGCGGATTGGACATAAGTCAACTGCGACCGGTCAACTTGGGCTAATATCGCATCGGCATTCCGTTAATATATTCTCGTGCGATTTACATAATTGCAGATTTCTTGATGCTGTACATCAGCGTGTTCCTTCTTTCTTTCTTCTCTCAAAAGTTCTTTAGTTTCTAAGGTAACTGTAGTCTCATTCTTCAGGATGACTGCTTCTGAATTTTAATTTTAATTTTAATAACTGAATGTAATATTAAGAAACGAGAAGAGCTACAAATACTTTATTGCCTGGCTAAAGAATTGAGGGAAAGAACGGTCATTGTTTTGCCCGAAGCAAGGAGCTATAAATAAATTCTTTCTTCTTTTTCCTACAAATTTTTTTTAGTTTTTAAGATAATAATAACTTTATTCTTAAAAATTAATTCTCAGACTTCCCTAGAACTTTAAATTAAAATTTACCTACTGAAATATGTGTTGGAAACCAAGAAGCTCTGTAAACATCTCATCTAAATATCAGCTTGTTTAAAGAACTAAAGAAAAGAGTGGCTATTGTTTTCGCTCGAAAAACGAGACGGACGTGGTTGTAGTTTCTAAAGCAATACCAGTCTGAGTTCTAAACGTCTAAGCTGCGCTCACACAGCGAGCATCGCGATATATTTACGCGAACGAGGAGACCACGGCGGGAACGATGGCACCGGTCCAGCAGACGCGGCGTTACGGAAATAGATTTCGGCGGCGATGCAACGGCCGCCCGCGGACGGAGCAGCGCCGTCCAAGCCGACATCGGAGACAGGGCCCAGTACCGTGCGGACCAGTTCCCGAGAAAAACCGGAAAAGTCAACCCCGGCGAGGTGTCCCACATGAACGTGAGTGCCGATATTCGTTCCGAGTGCAACCCCCCCCCCCCTGGTGCATCTTCCGCTTCGAAGACTTCTGTAACAGTATTCTGTATCGCCATTTGTCCTCTTCTTCATTAAAAAGGAAAAAGGGACACGCTGTTCGCAATAAGGACAATAAACAAATTGACGTGATACCACATGTTTCAGATAATTAAAAAATTTAAAATTGCATCGTGAACGACATTTTTTTTTAAGGAATATTTCGAAAAAACGCCGTTAATAGAAAAAGCGTTGCTGGCCAATTTCCCCAAGATCGCAGTGCTTTGTCGACGTGGTCCACGAAACGGCCTGTGACGTGACGATAGGTCGGCCGTCGCGTCGTGGATACGGATTATCTAAATCGGAGCTCGCATGGTGCATCGACTTGGAGTGCGCACGGCGCGTTCATTTAACTTTGTCTATCCGTGAGGCACAATGCGGATAGCAGCGTCAACGAGTGCGCATTATCTGATTTAAAAGATGAGATCAATTAGATTACCTCTGCACCTTTCGAGTATCTGATATCGAACAAAGAACACCGTTGCCTCGATCGCGCGCGTGTTATAGAAGATAATTAATTATTAAACATCGTTTTTATCTGTTTTTAAAAAGTGCAAATAATCTTATTTTCAAAGATATATAAACAAGAATATAATAATAAAACCTTCTTGTTAAGCGCAATTTAATTATAATGTTATATATAATTATGATATTAAATATTTTAACAGATTTTTGCAAGTTTCTCCGGGAATAAATGAGAGGTTCTTGAACTTTAGATTCTTCAATTTTCATATAAATGTCAAATGTTTTGATTTAATTAGAGAAGACAAGAAGAGATGAATTCGTTCCGAGGATAATAATTTAATGCGTCCAAAATCCATGTCGTTACTTCGCATTTACCAGTCTCGTAGTAGTCGTAGTGCCGTATTCGTGTGCATCTACCCTATGCGGGTACCAGCGACTATTGGAATAACGTAACGAAAGATAAAGCAGTTTCTCATACCGCTGCTACGCGGAAAGTTGGACTTGCGAATTAGCGCATACGTGTTATCTGTAACTTGTAACTCCGCGGTACCGACTGTGACAGTTACTTCCGGTTCCGAGATCCCTTACCGGATTGCGCCTCGCGTGCTAACCATTGTCTAATTATTCCGTAACTATGCGATATCGCGCATCGCTGCCGGAAGTGTGACGAAAGCATAAACGGAATCTTCAAATAAGCATCGGGTGGTCTAGCAACTAAATCGTCTAAACTCCGAACGCGAATAAAATGCGAGACGTGTCTGATGCGTGTGAAAGAAGTTCGCGGATAGAAATTCTCTCGGATAAACTAGAAGTTGGATGATTTCCAGCTTGCACAGTCGTATATGCAATCCCAACGAGAAATAGTTTCGCGATGCACGCTCGATTTGCATTTCTGGATCTTTCTTTTATCCCGTCACGCTTTTGGGACAAAATACCTGGGATAGAGAGAAACAATTGTAAAGGAAAAGTTTGACAGTAAATAAATAGATTAAATAAATAATATATGCTGTATATCTCTTTATTCAATTTTATTAAATAAATGTTATTTTTACTCTCTTTCGATATTATGACGCTGCGGCATGGAGTTTTAACGAGGAAATTATAAATTATAATTGGCACACCGTGCTCCGTGTATACACTTCCATTTGTCGCGGATTCCCCTGCAGCGTAAAATGGAAATAAAAATCGAAAAGAATGTGCGTTACAAGAAGAACAGAAGAGTGAACGTTCTAAAGATACGCGAACGGCTCTAATTCAAGAAACTAACTCCCGTCTCGTCGCGGCTCCCGAGCGAAAGCTTTTCACGGCACGGCTACGTTTATTTCTGTTGTTCCGTTTTGGATAATGTCATGCGGACGTTATCTTTAGTTATTAATCAACTTACTCAACGAGCTCATGCGACTCAATAATCATAAAAGATGTAACAAGACGAGTGGGCAGGGGACGAGGTCTATGATAAATAAATGCAAATGCCAGATATTTCTGAAACCGATTTATTTAGGTCGTCTGCTTTTTCACCAATTACGTTCTATCTGAAGATCCGATCTAAAATATCTCGATATCAGAATTAATTATTTATTACAGATTTAATTACATATGTTCGATATTTCGCGTAGGAAGAAAGATGTCGTCGGTGTCACACCTACGCCCTGAAAAAAAAAATATCGTCGCGCGCGCCACGCGGCTCGGCTTTATTTCTAGACGCGGAACACGCTTTTTCCCGGCCGCAAAAATAGACCGCGGTCGGTCCAGCTTCCGGCGGTGGATCACCGTTCTGACGTCACGCTTTCCCCCGCGACGGTACCCACTTGTACAGTCTCGATTATGCGGCAACGACGCCGAAATTATTTAGGCTTCGGACGCGCGCGAGCCCAAGGTGCGATGACATCAATTCACACTTGGCACTCTGTTATGGCGGTAGAAAAACTGCCAGAAAGAGCTCCTCGAAGTCGCCTAGGCTTTTGATACTCTGGTTTAACGAAGCATTATTATTTCCACGTTGTACATAGTCGTTGCTGGATCTACTTTTAAATCTATTGATTGTATAATAATTTTATTATATGTAATAGTTTTAACGCGTATCTTACGTGCAAAACCATTATTTTGCAATTCTTATAAATGGAATTTTTTGCTCGTGATTGTTATAAGTGCAGCATGACGAGATGAGATGCACCAATGCCTCTTGCATGTTTCTGAAATAAATTGCTATAATTCTGAAAGAAGAAATTAATAAAGTTCTGTTGTTATTGCATAGAACCCGGGAGCTGAAAAATGGCGACCGATGGCCATATCGAATCCGTCCACCAAACTGCGAATGGCAAGATCCATGCCCCATTGGGTCATGGTAGGTTTCTCTTTCAGCTATATTTTATTTCTAATTTTTACTTATGATTACCTCTCAATTTTATAATTGTTGTAGAAAATAAAAAAATGCTGAGATATACATATCTGCCAAAATAACTCGTTTGATGTATTTTTATTTGCTCTCACAATAAATATATTTATTCATATTGATGCAGTATTGATTTCTGAAATAAAAACATTTAAAAAAAGACGCAGCAGCAGCAGCAAGCAGATCAGCAGCATCGTCGACCGCCGACGCCCCCGAAAATCCCGCCGCCGTCGCTCTCCGGGGACTGTGGTGACCCCGACTACGAGATCATCGAGTTTCCGACCCGACCGCAAGCCCAGGCACCCTCGACGCCCCGATCGAACGCCGGTAAGTGCGCCCTGTGCGGCATCGAGAACGTGTTCGCGCGTTGCGACACGTGCAACGAGAACTACTGCGAGGCCTGCGACGACATGAACCACAAGCACCCGAAACGGAGGGGCCACGTCCGCCGAAGGATCCTGACCGACAACGCGAGCAGAAGCAGACCGCCGCTCCCGCCGAAGGGGGAGAACCTGTTGAATCCCCCGCCCGTGCCACCGCCGCGGAGGAATCGCAAGACCACTCAGGTAGGCTGCGTCCTGGCCTGAATCCTTCGACTGCTCGTGAATCTTCTTCCAGGCACCGACGCCCAGTCGTCGACCGATATAAGTCCTCGATGTTCCTCCAGCGTCCGCGCGTCCAGGGATTCGCCTCGGGATCACTCGGGCACAATGGAGATCAGGTTGCGCTATACGGCCAATGAATTATCGCGATCAAGTGTCTGTTTCTTGGCGACGATCGCCAAGATTGGATCAGTGACTAACTCCGGGTCACGGGAGAGCTGTTTATCCGCCAAGTCCGACCTCGTCTCCGTCGCGCGTCGGGTGTCCACGGAGTCGGATCGCCGAATGCCGAGTCTCTTTCGACGTTGTTGGTCGAAACGACGTAGCTTTTACTAAAAAACGTCACACCGAGGCGTGTCTCAAGTGTTACTGCCCTTGCGAGCTTTAAATGATCGTTGAATATTGTTCTACATCCAGATTCTATTTTACGTTCAGATTTTATTGTACATTGTTAACGTGTTGCTTTTTAATATACACCATGTTATCGCAAGACACTGATTTGCCGTATTCACTGAACCCGTTCTCTCCTCCAGTTCTGTCGCTGGCGTAATGACGCGGAAAAGACGAACGTGGCGCGTCCGCGCCGTCGTAATGCCGGGCATTTGTCGTGTAATCGTGTAATCGAATCGTTTTTACCGCGAACGATCTCTGGAGTGGTGAATATGGTAGGCTACGGTGAACACGGTGAACACGATCATTCTCGCACACGATTATAATCCTCCATCGGCATCCGTGCCACTCCGTGTTTCCCGTACCGTTACGGTGGTACCCACTATGACATATTTTTACACTCGGTGTACCCCGCCTTCTTTTCAGCATAGACGGCCTATATCCATCCAGCTGCTTGAACCTGCCACGCTCACAAAATGACAGATAATTTTTTTTTCTTAAAGGCGTATTATTTACATTGAGATTTTTGTTCTTAATGTTCTCGACGTATTGATATCCAGAGATAAGTCAGGCTGCATATTTATTTATTTATTTGTTCTTTTTTTTAAGCCTATGTTATTTTTTAGAAGACTGTTTCTAGAGAAGAGCATTTAACATTTGCCATGGTCATAATTATTTAAATTTGACACCTTTTTTTTCAATAATATCAGCGGTGTTTCACAAACGAACATCTACAGTCCTCGACAACATTATTCCGAGTGTTGTTCCCTCCTTACATCCACGATATGTAATTAAGTTAAAGTTTCGCGCTTAGGCTAAATCGGCGCTAATCAAAGGATCTGCGCAACTCCCTTTGCTCGACAAGGTCGGGAGCTTGAAGCGCAATTTTTCCAATGCGAAACCGCCGTCGGACTCGAGCGCAAGAGTATCGAAATCTACGAGTACTTTAAACACATCTTCCAACGATGCTTCTGGATCAGGAACAGACAAAATGACTACTCTACAGGTAAAAAGAGTTATAATATCATATAAAAGTATATTAACTATTAAAGAACAAATGACGTTTACTTTCAAAGAATTGAATCTGGAAGATCGCCAAGATCATGAAATATATTTGTGAATAAAGAAGTTTTCAAGAATTACAAAAATTTTTTCCTTTGTTGCATTTTATTAAATGACTAAAATGAAATAATAAGTATTTATAAATTATTTATTAATTAAATCCAAATTTTAACTTATTCGTCAAAACAAATTGGTTATTATGTATATTCGTGAAATTATTTCCATTTTTTACAATTTTAGATATATTCTTCCATTATGGCTTTGTCATTAGTCATTTGTTGAGTTTTTGACAACTTTATTTGTTATTTTAAAAACTGGAATAAAATATTACGATTTTTCAGGAGAGATATAGAAAATATCAAGAAGTGATGAGGGCTCAAGACGCGAATAGGCGACGACACCCGTCCGCTGATACGAGGGATACTTTGAGTGGGAGACCACTCAGCTTAGGCAGTCCGAAACCGGCACCTCCACTTCCACCTCCGCCGCCACCTAGAACCATGATACAATCAGCCAGCGTTTGCGACTTGACCGCAGCTCATATGTGGAATTCAGGAATGCATCAGGTATTCTCAATCAAGTGTTCATCTCAAACAAAAATGTTGTTAAGTCTATTTTTATTCGATGTTATTGTTATTAATTTTTCCTTCTTGATTTATCCGTCAAACACTCAAAGGAGACAATGTATCAAACTAAAAATATTTAAACCTGACGCGTACAGGAAGATTCGTGATAGATAAAATTGTTTCAGGCCCAATCGATGGCACATCTCGGCCCCGGCGGCGTACCGATGATGTGGTACCCGCCGGGCAACCCCTGGGATATGTCGATGGGAGGCTCCAACGTGAGCCTGCATCATCCAAACGCGTGGGGATATCCCGTGAGCTATCCGTCAGTGCAAATGCTACCTCCGCATTATCCAGGATCTCTTTCTAGAGGGCACAGTCCGGCCAGAAGCGTCAAATCCAGCAGAAGATCGAGGCCAGCGTCTCCGTCTCCCAGCCTGAAATCCAAGAAGTCTTACGCTTCGAGACCGCGATCGAGGAGGTCGCCCGGGTCACCGTCGGACGCAAGCTCCGAGAACTCCGACGAGTCCGATGTGGACGACAGACTTTCCCGCGGATCCAGAAGTAGACGCGGTAGCGTCCCCAGAAGCATACGACAACGAAACTATCATGACGAAGATACCAGAAGTCTCGTGTCCAGAGGTCGACGAGAGTAAGTGGGGAAAATTCTCTCTGAGATGGACTAAAAGAAATATAATTTACAGATACTAATTTAGAAAGATTTATTTTCACAAAGCTTCGTGAACAAATATATATAGACACATTAAGGAACTTTTGGCGAACAATTCTATCGACCAACTGTTCATTACTGTCTTAACGATGATATTTTGTAACCTTCCATTTCAAAACTTGGCAATTAATATTAACTTATATTCTATCTTTATTGATCACTTTGAGAGAACAACTAACGTTTTCATAATTTTATAGAATTTTAATTTTTGCGAAATAAATTTAGTTTTATTAATATTTAAACTTTAAACACATATATTTTATTCGCGATCACGTCTTGATCATGGGTTTTTTCAGGAGATTAATATCTGAGGAGAGAATGACGAATGCCGAGGACCAATGGTCTGAAAGTCCGTCCAGTAAACGATACTCGACGTCTCCGAGAAGCTATGACGAATTACAAAAGAGCAACACTATCTCTTCTGGACGGCGTTACAACCACGATGACCGCTCGGCTTCCAAGGTGGATCCTCGGCTGGATCGCGTACAAAACGGAACTTATCGCGACCGCCGAAGGCGAAGTACCGACGACGAGTCCTCCGATCGAAAAGTTAACACACCAGGTCGAGCACGAGTTACGAGCTCTTCTGACGATCATTTTGAGAGGGTGGAGAACGCTTTGAAGAGGGCGTCGTCCCTTCGAAGGGACATAATGCTGGACGATTTGGAACGATCCTCTACTCGTCGCGATTCTCGTAGATCGTCCTTCGAGAGTGACGGTCAGATCAGAAAGACGCCTTCTCGTGATGTAGCTTCCCCGAAAAGAACACCCGGAGAAAGAACGCGTCTCCTGGAAAGACAGTCTTCTCAAGGAGGACATTCAAATAGGGATCGCGCGAACATGGATGAGATCGAATCACGCTCGACAAGAAGAGAGCAGCAAACGCGCGATGTCTCGCGAGAGCGCGAGCTCCTCGCGAGAAGAGAGTCGTTCCGACGAAAGGACACTCTTGACGATCTAGACCGGACCTCCAACAAACGAAGTTCCGGCAGATCCTCGTTCGAATCCGACAATCAAGGCTCTAGAAAAACGCCCTCCAAGGAAATCCCAATAAAAAAACAGGAGGACAAGGAAGATCGAGACCTGCCTAAAACGGGTGATCTTCAAGTTACAGATCGTCAGCGATCGATCGAGGGCCGTCAGTCGAAGGATTCGGTACGAACTGCCGAAGTTCAACCGAAGAAACAGGGTAACGCTGAGACTAAACAGCAGACGCGAATATCTCAGCTTGAGAAGGAGCCAAAGGCAAAGAGAGACACAGTTGAAAGTACGAGTGCGTCGTCCAAGAAAATCGACGAGATGGAAATTCCAAAAGAGGAATGGGCTTGCGAGCATTGTACTTTCATCAACAAGATCAACGATCGCGTCTGCGTGGTTTGCTGCAAGACGAAGAGCAGCGCTCTGCCACCGAGCGTCTCAAACGATGACCCCGCGGCCGCGGCCGCCCCGATCGAGCCACGAGCGAAGAACGAGGCGTCGAACAACGTCGCCGATCCCGAGAAGCGGACCAAGAAGATCTCCAACAGCGAAGAGAGCGGCGACAGCGGATCCGTCAAGAATAAAGGTAGACCGAAGCGCAAAATCAGCTTTTCCTTCGGTACCAAGTTGTCCAAGTGACGTCACGCGTGACGCTTCCATTCTATGTGATGCCCACCCGCGTATTCCTGTCCAGAAATGCGGATGACCCGGATTACATTTGTACACGTTTTTCTTTCTCTCTCTCTCTCTTTCTCTGTCTTTCTGTTTCTTTTTATTTTATTTTTTTTCATTTTTACGTAAAGCGACAGTCAAGTCGTGCAACTGGTTATTCTCCACCTTCGATGTATTCCCTTGGATGAATAATAAAGAGACATGGAAACTGTTTTTCGTACAACGCTACAACGACACCAAATGCATAGTCGTATTTGAAATTCGGCCATCTTCTGTTCATGTCTGAGGCGTTATATTATTCATTCAAGCGATGCGACGGTTTCAAGCACGAGCGTGCATTTGGCATATGTTCCTTTTATTCCGGGGCAGACCATCGATGGAAATCACTGCCAGAGCATTTGGCTCGACGACGCTGAAACGCGTCAGCGGCAAAAGATTTGTTTTAGTATGAACAAAAGATTATGCAACAGTAAAATTTGTTAAAATTCATTCCCTTTAAAATCGCCCTTTAAATCGTCGATATGTTGTGTACTAGTTTCGGATTATATTCGGATATTAATGCACTATTAGATTACTAATATTGTTACTAATATTAATTGTGATAATTACATGCGGCATGCCATATATTTTAGTTATATGATATATTTATTTGTGGCGATTGTTACAAACCCTAACAAATTAGCGAATTAGCAAATTTTTTAATTAAGTACACTAATTAAACAAAGAAAAATTTGGCACGAGCAATACATTACTAATATTTAAATCTTGTACACCAAAATTCTCCAATCAGTATTTAATTCGCAATTTTATTCTTCCTCTCGATCGCCAGAAATGTTATATAATTTCCGGATGACCCTGAAAAAGATATACATCTTGTACACTTGTGAGGAAACACAGTAGCATTAATCAAATGGTATATTTAAAATCACAATTTAGGAAGAAATAATTCAGAATCGCACTGAATCATGAGTAAATTTGTGATTTTCAGAAGCGATTGTTCCAGACAATGATTCTCTCGTAGAGAACGCTAAAACTACGATCACGGCCGTAGCTGCGCAAGCAAAAGAAGCGTCAACAGACGCAGCATTGCCGGTCGATGAGAACTTGTCGTTAGAAGCATCGTCCTCGGCGTTAACGTCTTCTTCGATTGCAAATACTTCTAAAGCGGACACAAACGCGACGCCACGCGAGGAAAGGATTCGAGGAAAACTTTCGAAGAGCCATTCGGTGTCTACGGGAACATCTCCTCCACCGCAAAATATCTCGACCCAAGTAAGAATTGTATAAGCAAGATATTACTCGAATATGAACGAAAAGATTATATAAACAAAAGATTAAATGGCGTAAAATAAATTTTATATTGAAATATTTTAGACTTACGACTATCTCCCTGCAAAAGGGACTCTCGGAAGATCCGCGTCGGTAGGAACACCAAAGAGTTACTTATATTACGACGATAGCGATGGTGAGGTGAGCGAAAAGTAGTGAATAAATTTGTGAATAAATTAAAGCCTAATTAAATGTTGGATAAGAGCAATCGAGCCTATAAACAACCATTGACAGTAAAGTATTCTATGAAGAGAAATAAAATGTCTTGCATCCTTCACGTTGATATATGATAAAAAAAACGCGTTCTTTATGTGTTCTAATAAAGGAAACAAGACGGAGCATTTGTTTCAGGAACAAGCCGGATTCGTAAACAGTCCCGATTTGTATCCGCGAGCGTTGCAGGAACAGTATCTTCAGCAGCTGATAACCGGGCAGAGGAGCAGAGAGCGGACCAGAAGAAACTCCATCGACTCGTCTCACCTTTATTATCGTTCCAGGGTAAACTCGCTTACGAACTGAGCTTACAAGCCTGATGGATTTTTATGTACACCTCGTCATCCTCGATCCAACCGTCGCGATAATTAGCCTCGGTGTGAACGTAGGCAGGATATTTTTATTTCTTTAGCATCCACCAACCGCTTAAATAGATCGCTCTTACTTGTTTATTTATCATGCTTATTTGCGTAATACATTTACAGCTGCTGCTCTAGTCCTGGTATTAATTTAGACATACGCTTAAAGATAATCTGTGATGGCGGAACCCCCTGCGATTGTGACTACCAATAGATCAAGTAACATCCATTGCAATTTCGTGCTTTTTGCCCATTTTTGATGAGACGATCGTTAACAGCAACGTGCTTTTGATTTCAGGAACCCAGCCAATCGAGATACGCGGAGGCAGGTCCCAGTGCCAGCCAAGGGATCTCCACGTTGACGCGTCAAGGACTGGAGATAGTGGAGATCCTGCGGGAAGCCGAGAAGCAGGGATTCACGACCGACGATGTCCAAGTCGCATTGGCACAAGGTGCCCCGAATCCGATCGAGTGGCTTCAGACGCAGTGGCCGCATCTGGTGGAGACAGTGCAGGTCCTGGTGACCGCACAGGGCAAGGAATTGAAAGAGAACAGCATCGGCGTGCTCTCGCCAGCCGAGGCGAAAGAGGCCCTGCGATCTGTCAAGGGTGACATGTGGAACGCAGTCGCGACGGCCATCCAACGCAGGCAGCAGAAAGTGCGTGCGAGGGAAAAATCTAATAATATTTCGACGGATTTACAACACTTTGATCAATATTGATTTGTCGTCTTTTCGATTGGCAGTGTGAACAGATAATGGCGAAGGGAAACTTTGCGCTCGCGGATGTTGTCAGAGCTCTCGACAATAATACCGGTGTCGAGGATGCCACTTTGCTCGAGCTGCAAAAGAATCAGCTCAAGCCCTTTCTAATGAGGATCTGGGGTCCTCCGGTCGGGGTGGAAAACGAGGAGGCTGCACCGCACGAAGGTCAGTGAAGTTTTCGATACACACCGATTACACCGATCATGATAATTTCATAGCGCTTACCAATGTTTTCGATACTTAAATATGTTAATATTATTTTATATAATAAGCAATATTCATATATATTATTTTATTATTCAATATTTTATATATTTTAAAAATATATAGAGATATTATTATTTTTTTTTTTATTTTATATGCAATCTGAAAATTGTTACTCTTTGCTTATTACAGTTTGCGGTAAAAAAAAACGGTTTATATTTCTATGCGCAATAGAAAAATATATTAAATTGAGAGATTAATTACTTTATTTGTATCTCCACATTTACGAAAAAGTCGCAAGTTAATACTCGAGGAAGAAACAAAGATCATCGATCACGCGCCGGTCTTTCTTTTTGCTGCAGACGCAGCGGGTGCGGTGGGCGGGACGGGAATAGGTCCCGCGGAACAAGTTCCGAATGTGTCCGATACGGAGGCGCAGAAGCAGGTAATGTCACCAATTGTTGATCATTTCGTGGCGTTGCAGGCCGACTTTCAAAAGCAACTGGCAGCCCTCAGAGAACTGACCGATAACTGGCGACACGAGAAAGATCCCCCGAACAAACTGGGTAATAATAAGTCTGATAATCTGTACGACCGCTCCGATGAGCCCACTGTTCTAATCGATCCAAATCTGGTCCCAAGGGCCGTACAACAAGCGCCCGACGTAGCGGAACCGAGCGATCTTGCGATCACGCGGCAAGAACAGGCAACCGTAGATTCGCGGGACGACTCAAAGTACTCGTTGAACGCTACGAAACCGACAGAAGACCTGGATCAAGTAGATGCCGCGTTGCCCACGGAAATTCCCGCAACCACAATCAATGATCTCGCGAAGACAAGTGTAGTGGACTCCTCGCGCGCGCCTGAATACTCCTCGAAAACTGACGATGATCGTTTGACCGGAGAATCATCGACGATTGACACTGATAAGACTGTTGTGCGAATTACCGGATCCGAGCTGTCAAAATCTGACGGCCAGAAGAGCGAAAGCGACGACGTCGAGGTGAAACAGACCGCGCGGTCGCACGAAAAGACGAAAGAAATGCATGCCGACACCTCGACGACATCGATCGACGAAACTGCAGTGACGACGGAAGTTACGAATTCACCGGAGGAACAGGAAAGATTATCGCCAAATAACGTCGGAGTTGAAGTATCCTCACCGCATGGAACTTCTGCGCTTGACACAACGAGTTACACGGAACCGGGTCAGTCCTCTTCTGCGCGTCAGGAAACTTCGAGTGGTCCTGAATTACCTTCTGATGTAGGGACGACGGGGAACAGCAGCGAGTCACTCGTCGAAGTTGGGAAGTCTGCGGAATTGAACGACGCACTCCGTATCTCTTTCCCGAATTCGAGTGTTCCCCAACGAGCCGATATATTGCCGCAGCGGACATCAACGCGAGACGAATCCTCGAGCGCAGGCACGGCGAACGTGACGGAGAAAGCACACGCGGACGCATCCGAGAGGGATCTTGCCACACGGGAGCAATCTGATCAGCGTGTCATAAGGGAAATCCCCAGGCAGAACGACGAGCCACACGTCGTGACGGTGGAAGCTCTACTATCCGCCGTGAAATCGCTGCCGCAGCAGTTTTTGACGCCGTTCATAACTGCGATGCAAATGCTGTCGCCCGAGAAAGGTGATGTCAACGTAACTTCCGACGTGCAACTTATGAATCGATTAAATACCTTACACGATATGAAGACCGATGACCCCAAAACCGGCGTGTCTGAGGCCGAAATCAGCGACAGGAACGTCGGCGCACCAAGGACCCGTGACGCTGACGAAGAAATGTCTGTTTCTGCAACCGTGCTTGAAAACACAACTGGATCGGAAGAAGGATCGCTTCGGGAGAAGGATCGAAAAGATAAACATCCGGACAAAAGTTCTAAAAAATTGAGGAGCAGCAAGATTGCCGATAAGAAGATCGACACATCTAAACTTCCGGATTCTCGGATGGCAAAGTCCCGCTCGAGCGTTCCAGACATTAAGCAACAGCATCAGGATGTCAGATCGGTACGTACAGACACGAACGGGTCTAACATTTCGCAAACTAACATCGCGACGGATCTGACATCCGAAACGTTTTCCGATTCGCTGGACTTAATGGACAAAGACAATCCCGAAGAATCGCAGACTGCGAATGAAGTGGCAGCGTCGAGTGTAGGAATAGCCGGAGTGCCGGACGTCGCCAGGGAAATACATTCACGTAAGAATTCTTTAGAGATAGTTGACACGCCTGCGAGAGATAATAATCAAGAAAAATCTGTCGAGGACGAAACGGTGTCGGAGGCAAGATCAGCTGAGGAAATGCATTCAGGTGAATTATCGAGCTCTCATGTGCAACCGTTAACAGCATCTTCAACGCATGATCAATCTATCGTTCAGAAACCTCTCGAGCTTACAATCGCAGGCGATAGCTCGACTGATACGCCATCATCATCAAAGGAAGCAAAAAGCTCTTCCGAAAAAGCATCTCATGAAAAGCTTCTCGCTGATAACGCCTTTACAGGCATTGATCCACTTTTAAAAAGTGATTCGTCGCAAGATAAAAGTTATTCATTAGCTTCTATAAACGATTCTAACGCGGAAAAATCGGTCTCTCAATCGACGACGGAAACAAATGTTTCACAAAATGATCCGATCGTGCATAATTCTAACGCTGATCATCCGCCTGTTTCGCGCGAAGTAATAACAAACGTGACTAATGTGCAATCAAATGAACAGGATATTAACAAACGAGACGAACGACAATCAAACGATTCATCTCGCACGCATGTTTCAACATCACCAACCTCGTCAATTTCATCTCCCGCAAAGGTACCCGATCATTCTCTCGACGTTAAATCACCGCCCATCGAAATATTCGATAATCACGGAACGACATTGCATCATGATAAAAATGATACAAAGCCGATCGTTTCGAAAAATGCGGTGCACGTTTCGGAAAAAGTAGAACAGACAATTTCGGTCACATATCACACTCCCGCGAGCGACGATAAAAATGAAACTACGTTGAAAGAAAACGTGCCCGTTGAACAAAATACGGTCAATAATTTAACCATTACTCAATCGCGAATCGATGAAAATATCCTATCGCCATTAACACACTCGCGTGCCCCTGAAAAAATGGATTTAAAGAATCTGCGTGATCAAGGGACGGAAATTACATTTGTCCCGGCAAAATCTGACAGTTCAATGATCGAACCGACCTCAGACATTCAATCTATGACAGATTCACAAAATGTCGAAAATATTAAAAATCAAGATAAATTGCACTTTTACAATCCGAGAAATCCGACAGATAATCATGAAATAATTGCACCTCCACATAATCACATAACGCATGCTAAAGTAATGTCAACCTCTTTCTCAGAAAATAATGTCGGAGCAAATACTTGTCCTGAAAATACTTCGCATCTTGAAATATCAAAAAGCTTGGACGATCCCAAAACTTCAAAACTTACTGTCGATGAAAACGTCGTTACAAATATTAACAAGCCTTCCAACGAAAATATACACGATCAATTACGCGAATTATCAAATAGTAATAACAACACGTTTCCTCCCTTATCTGTCGAACATGCTCTCCCCTTAGAATCGAAAGAAAGTATTTCGTACCCCATCGATCGCGATGAGAAACCTTATCTCGAAGATGAAGTTTCTCAATCTCACGATGACAAGAAACAGGACGCGCAAATGTCAAATTCAACAACAAGGAACATCTTACACGCGCTTAAAAATAGCAATATATTCTTCGTAACGCCGACCGAGGGGAGAAATATTGCTTCAACAGCCAACAAAGACTCTTTCCCGAATCCCATTATAGCGAATGTCAGCGACGTGACGCCCGGAATACCTGACACCTTTGAAATAAAGATATCGGAATCGCCAGTAACAACGGTGAACGATTGCGCGCCGATAAAAAATATCGCGAATATCGTCGAACGCGAGATAGATCAGATCGAAGGCGTTGATGCGATCGGCAAAGAGAATGCGAAAGACGTCGATTCGTCCGGGAACGAAATTTTAATCGTCGCACGTAACGAACAAATTGAACCGGCATCGTCAAAATTACCGAGTAACGAGAGCTCGATAGAAAGAAATACAGACCAAATAAATCAATCTTGTAAAAGCGTAATTACAAAACCGGTCATGAAGTACAGATCGAGATCGCCTCTTAAAAAAATCGTCCGAAGAAAGTCGCCCGTTAAGATAGTAAAAAAATCAGGTAGCGGACCGAGGAAAAATTTAGCGCGGAAAAGCGCAAGTCCGTACAGTACGACCGTCACGAAAGCGAGAGCAACGGCTAGCGAGATTGCTAAAAAGTCGAATCGAGCAATGCAGTCCGATGAATCGCGAATTAAAGAACCTTTAAAGTCCACGCGTATCGCGAGCGATAAGACAGGCAGTAATAATAAATCAATTGTTGATGATAAAATAAAAATGGAGAAAGATAATTTAAAACCTAAAACGTTCTTACCGTCAGAAATACCAGACAAAATTGTTAAACGGTTATTAAATAACACCACTATGCCAAAAACTACAGGAAGCATGAAAGTAAATGACAATAAAAAACTTCCTACGTCCAGTTCAGAGAAAATATCGATAGTTAATAACGCGAGTAATACCGAATCGCAAACTAAATTGCCTATTGTTAAAAAATATAATGGAAATAAATCGGAAAATTCTAAAAACAAAAATATTGAAGATGTCCAAAATAAAAATCCGCGAGGCTCGAAAAGTATAAAAGCGGAGGCTTTTGAAAATCAAGCAGTAAAAAAAATAAATAACAAAAGTGAAATCTCGAATGATGATAAAATTCTAATAAAAACGAAGAAAGATGATTTAAAACCTAAAACGACTTTACCGTCGAAAATACCCATTCTAAAACAACGAAAAATCACGCGAGCAACAGACACTGCCCTATCAAATTCTTCTAAAATAAATGACACGTCTTTATTAAAGAGTGGATCGACGAAATTGCCAGTAATGTCGCAGGCAGTTTCGAAATTATCTTTAAAAATTCAGGAAAGTACTAACGTATTGAACCCGCCAACCGTGCGGAAAATTGATTCTGAGAATACTAACAAACTGATGAGAAATCAAATTAAATCAAGTAACGGAAGGGCGATTGAAATTACAGAAAATGTGAAAGACAAGCAAATCTTGGATGAGAATCATGCTAAAGAGAGTAAAGAGAGTGCCGTGGAAAGTGAAGAAACCGAAGAACCTCCGAAAGTTAAGTCAATAGAATCGGAATTAAACGAGAATTCACAAGCGTCGAACTCGAGGCATAACGATCCGCCCGCGGATCTCGGCAAACAATTGGAAGTCGAAAACGCGATCGGAGAAAGCTCGGATCCTTTCAGCTCCGATTCCGACTATTCTGAGGGGGACGAGGACACAGGTACGGCGAAGTACATTTCTGATCATAACTCGGAATACAATTCCGTCGAGGAGTTCACGGACGCGGAGTTGTTGTTGGAGAAAACGCTAAATGAGATAAGATCTGAAATATCGGAGTCTGAAGAGGAGGAGCGCACAAGCGAATCCGAGGAAAGTGAGGACGTCACTTATTCGTACGAGACGGAAAGCCACGATCATAATTCCACGTCGTCCGAAGACTCGGTCGACGAACGGGAGATTAAGTCAAGTGAGCTCGAAGATTCGGCGGAAGAAGATGTGTACGAAGACCTACCGTCCGAAGAAGAAGAGACGAATGAACGGGTCGAAACTTCGGAACAATTTGAAATGCCTGATAAAGAGACCAACGATATAATACACAACGAAACGAGTAACAATGAAGCCAGCATTTCGAACGGAACAGAAAGCATCCCTCAGGTAACGCAAGAAAATGAAGGAAATAATTTAAAGACACCAACAGAAGCTGCCACTACGGTCATTGAATTATCCCGACCGGAAATGAACGCGGAAATTAATGAAAATATATTAAAAGTTTCTCAGAATCTTAAAACAGATTCTAACGTTGTTACAATAGATTCAGCGGCAGCTTTGTCTTCGACAAAGATTGGACAGAGTATAAAATCCAAGGAAGATATCCAGTCAAAAAAGAACGATTCAAAGAAGAATGAGATAAAGCTTGAAGACGCGAGCGAAACTAAGGAAAGGGATCAGTCAGTAGTGCAGAACGATACTCTAAAGACATTTAAAATCACGAGTAATGAGTCACGAGAGAAACGCGCGAAGATAGGTCGAAGGGCGAGTACAGGGAGTAAAGAGATGAAAATTGAGAAAGATGACACGTTAAAGGGGGTGGATCGGGCGCGAGCGCTCAAGAAACGATTTTCCCTCGTAGCCAGTTGCATCCGTCGGTTCGAGGGCGAAGAGAATGCCGTGAGGGCGCACGTGGAAAGCATCGGGCGCAAGAGACAAGGATCTCCCAAAACGGAGCGGGAGGTCAGTAGACGAGAATTGCCAAGTGACACACACGACCCTCCCCTCGTAGAAACGTCAGTTGCCAATAAGTCCTCGCGAATGTTTGCGCCGCCAAGAACCGGCCTTTTCCGCCGTTGGCAGGCCAATGTCTACAAACAGCTCGAAACGCCAATTGAGTGGGACCGGGAATCGAACGCAACAAATAGGTGTCCCTCTCAATGTTTTAACCGCGCGTTAATTGATTCATATCATTTCACCATTTATTAATCATTGATTAATCATTTGTGACGAGATGTGGCTAACGCGAAGGTAAGTATTGTGTCGTAAATAATTCATTGTCTGTCGAAAGAAAAAAAATGTTACGCATCTTCTAAAATATGATGGTGTTTAATCACAATTAAAGACGTATTATATTGGACATATTCACCATTTTAGATGTAAAATATTTAATGTTGTGTACGCATAATTGTAAATATATGAATTAATGGCGTCATTTTAGTAGTAGGCAAAATGTCGAAGTTTCAGCTGAAACTTAGGTTTTTCGAAAGTTTTACATTTGTCAAGTGAAAAAGAGCTCGTTTCTAGACGTTGGCGCGGTCTACTTCCTCTTGCATGACGGACACTTTAAACTTCCTACTTTCGAAGTATTTTTAATTGCTGATTTAGCTAATGAGCAACAGAGTACTTTACTTTATCTTCTGTAACTTATCTGTTGAATTTAAAATTTAACTTCATCTGCGAACTGCGCGAAATTGTCGACATTGCGCAACAATGCTCTTCATAATGTCCAAAATGCCGCTTTAAGTTGTAACGATTTACACGCACGGCCCTTGTTGTAAATGTTTACATCGATAGACGATAGATCTCAAGTTTTTCTTAGGTCGAGATTTGTAGACGAAGCTAAAGATTCCCTTTTTATACGATATGTGGAAATTGCGTACGTGCCGATATCGGAGCAATCTTATGTCCGTCACGTGTGCAGAGAATAGCGCGTCGTCTCCTGGCGGAAGGTCGAGCCGCGAATTACGATGAGGCCGAGATAGCCGCCAGTTTGCTGGCCCTCAAGTTCGGAGACGCCGAGGCACTCCAGGCCGCGAAAGAATGCCCCAGCGTGGAATCGGCGCTGGCCTTCTTGCAGCAGGAGTGCGAGCTGTGCACCGGTCGTTTCGCAATGAGTCAAGTGGGTATCCAGTTGTCGCCGAAGCGAGAAATCTGAATAACTGAAGAAAAGTAAAATCCTTTGGTTAATTTCAGAAAGAACGACTTTCGAGAAAAATATTATATCATATTTCTTTCCGTCTGGATTTAATAATCTTTGCGAATCTTATTTTTTATGAATCTTATCTTGCTAAAATAATCAAAAAATATCAGCAGGAATCAAAGCGCATTGTTATTTTTTTTAGTTCTACCTGTGCTACACTTGTCGGTATTTCTCTCAATTAGATTGTGTCCATGCTGAAGTGCGTACATCGCTGCTGCAACGAATGCGCGAGGAATTATTTCACCATTCAGATCAGCGACAGGAACATCACAGATGCCGTTTGTCCCTACTGCAAGGAGCCTAATCTCAAAGACGCGAGCGAAGACGAGGTTCTCGAGTATTTCAGCAATTTGGACATCCAACTGAAGACTCTGCTGGACCCGCCGATTCACGAGCTCTTCCAAAGGAAGCTCAGAGATCGGACTCTAATGCAAGATCCGAATTTTAAGTGGTGCATTCAGGTAATTATTTAATGGCAATCTTCATTTAACTCGCTATTTGAAAGTAAATTACTTATTATTTTCCAGTGTTCGAGCGGATTTTATGCCGATCCCGGCCAGAAGCGTTTAATCTGTCCCGACTGTCGATCTGTCACTTGTGCCTTTTGCCGAAGACCGGTATGTATAAAACATGATTTCATGATTCCGATTACGCTTGTGTTATATATACAATGAAGCAATAATTTATTTTCTAATATCTCTATTTTTAGTGGGAGAAACAACACGAGGGACTCTCATGCGAGAAATTTGCCGCTTGGAAAGACGAGAATGATCCCGACAATCAAGCCGCAGGTTTGGCCCAACATCTGGCCGACAATGGCATCGACTGTCCTAAGTGCAAATTCCGTTATTCTCTATCTCGAGGAGGTAATTATAACTGCTGCGCTTTACTGCAAAGATAATTTTATTCAGTTTCATCATTTACTGTGAAATTTTATTATTTAATTCCCAACTCAAGTATATTTAATGTAATATATATCTTCTACAAAAGTTGCTCTTTCACAATATTTTTTCTTTCTTTGACGTTAAATATTTGTAAAAGAAAATCATTACTATATAAAAGTTGTGAAATATAAACCACATCGCCAGTAGTTATTGCTTTTGCAAAAACAATATGGTAATGCAAGAATTAATGAATGTTGATTCCAAATATTATCTTAATATACGCGCGGACCATTTTAATACCGCGCTATTTTTTTTTATCCATCTCGGATGAGTTTAAAATATGGGGCGAGATATTTTTTCTAAATTATTCGATATGCATATCACAGGAACATTTTTCGAAGCTCGGTGAAAAAAAAAAAGAGAGCTCGTGAATTTTTATAGGTTGCATGCATTTCACGTGCAGCCAGTGTAAATATGAGTTTTGCTGCGGTTGCGGCAAGGCTTTCATGATGGGGGCGAAATGTGCGGTCAGCCCTTATTGCGCCAAACTGGGCCTGCACGCCCATCATCCGCGCAACTGCCTCTTCTACCTTCGTGACAAGGAGCCGGCGCAGCTGCAGCAGTTGCTCAGGGAAAACGGCATCGGTTATGACACCGAGGGCCCGGTCGGGGAACGCAGGTGCAAGGTGCAACTGCAGAAAGAAACGCCGACCGGGGTAGTGGACGCTGTGTGCAATTCCGACGTCGTCGAGGGCCACGCCGGTCTGTGCAGGTGAGCAGCCCCCCATCGCGGCAAACGACACCCGCGCGGTATTCGCGATAAGACGTCTTAGACGTGTTATTAACAAATTTATTTGTAAAATTACAAGCTGAATTTTTTGCGGATCGTAAAGCTAAAAGACAAAAGTTTGAAACGTGTTTCGAGGAAACTCCTTCATTGTCGTTTCACCAATTACAGATCACAACAGTTGCTAGCAACTCTTTACAGAAATTATCAGTCAAGATTACAAATACCGAAATATGTGTATCTCTTTTTTTTCCTAAACAACCAGGACTATTTTCACAAATAGTCCTGGTTATAGCGTTAGGCTTTAAGACGCTTTTTCAAACATCGCTCATTTTTTCGCAAAGATACGTGACTTTGAATTCGGTCCTCTTTAGCGCTGATTTTAAGTGGCCCTTTAATTTTATTGAGAAGTGTAACTTCACGCATCAAATAAAGTTACTTCAGTAATTCTTCGAAATCAAGACCCTTCAGTCTCGCTACATTCTGAATAGGTATTCCGCGACGCGTTCGCCGATCGGCGTTAGAATTTCGCTCACGCGCGAGTATATCGGGGCTGTCGCTCCCAATCGCACGGCGATTCCGAGCGTTTTCTTGAGCGATCTCTCGAAGCCGTCCTTCGCTATACCTCGCCCTCACCCTCACCCCCCAGCTGAACGCTAACGAGATCCTCCGTGTATCTCCTGTAGGATTCATTACGTCGAGTATCTAGTTCGAAAGATCCGTTTGACGCAGCTGGATCCGCTGCCCTTGCTAAACGTGGACGATCTCGAAACGTGCGTGCGACGCGCCGGGCGGAAACTGCCCGCGAACTGGTACGGGCGCGACCCGCAGCATTACAGGAACGACCTGGTCGAGGTAAAGCGCAAAGGCGGGGGACCGCCGTGCCGTGGGCCTGACTAAAATCTTGGGTACTTTTCCCCCGCAGGCAGCACTACATTGAGTACTTGGCGGGCCTGGTGCTCAAGGGCAGGCTGGACCCAGTGGGGATCTTTGACTTGAACGACGCCAAGCAAGAGTTGCGCCGACGGGGAAAAGTTCCCCCTGCGAAGGACCAGGAAATGTCCGAGCGGGATTACCTCGAGGCTTGCATTCAGGTGACTAACACGATTCCTCCTCTTCGTCGTCCTCCACCTCCTTCGTCGTCGCCCGGCCTTCTTCCTCTGGCTCTTCCGATTCCTCCTCGCACCTCCTGCCGCGACCCACTGACCGAATTAACATGGTAGTTGCATGAAAGTAGAATTCCTCTGCTTGTGCACGAAACATTCCGGCCGAAAAACCGTAAAAGTGAATAGATCGCCACGAATGACGCTGTCGAACGGCCGCACCTCGTATTGTTGATGTCGTATTTCGCGGTACTGTTACATGTCCTTACACTCTTTCCGAGCGCACTGTGAAGAATAGATGAGCTGGGGAAAGATTTAACGAGGATCCATTCTAAATTTCATTAACAATTTATGTAACATGTGGAATTGTTCTCCAGATTTAAAAATATATATATTTTGCTGCTCTTTCCTTTTACAGGATAAAATTTTATTTTGATCAGTCTGCTGAAGTAAACAGAAATTAGAGAAAAATGTTTTATATATGTATAATAAGAATTAAAATGCGTTAAAATAGACATTTTTCTATTCTATATTCAGAATTTAACTAAATCAATATCAAGTATAAAAGCATAATTGGAGACAATATAAAAAAATATTTAAATCAAAATTTTATTTTGATTTAAATGTTTTGAACATTAATCAATACTTGAATACTGATCTATTTCTCTGTACAGATTCTCGGCGAAATTTCAAAATAATGTATTAATTAATCTTAAACAATCAAATTTACATATTTACATAATTCCGCATAAAAATATTTAAACTTTGATAAAGTATGCATTATATGAATGATTTATTACATGTACGGACAAAGCTGAATACATTTCGTTCATTCCTCAATTTTTGATAATAATTCTCATTCTGGAAACTAAGAGAATGCTATCGGCTGTGCTTTTATATGCGCTACTTAAAGCGAAATAAAAATTTAATGTCCAACAACGTGGATCCGCGCGGCCGTTCGCAGCTTCCCACTGCGTAAATAACGATTTCCCTATCCTGTGTGAGTTGCCTTTTTTATGCGGATATCGAAGTAAATAAGGTATACGAGCGAGAGGTATGTGCCGCGGGAATACATTAAAATTCTACAACTTCACCGTGCATAAAGTATACCCCCAATGTTGCAGGTCGTAAAGCAGGAGATTCCACTGGAGTGACTGCGGAGGGAGAATCTCGGGGAAAAAAAGACCGGACGCGCGTATCCGAAGCCATAAGTGACAGACCGTATATTGTATAGTGTATTTATCTTATTTGCATGGACCACGTAAGCTCACAAAGTGAAAAATAGTGTAGGACCATTACCAGGAACGGGAGTATTTGTAATACAACCGTCATTTAGTTACGATATAATGCCAAAAACTTATATTTTTACTCTTCGACGTGGCGTGATGCGATTTGCACGTTAACTCGACGTCTCATTTGCAAACATTCGCAAATATTCGGCGTGAAGAAATAGTGTTCATCTCTACGTGTTCTACTTGTCAGCAACTAAACATGTGCAACAATGCAATCGAATGTTTCTTTACTTCTTGATGGATAGCGTAATTATTAATGTTTGAGAAACATGTATTTATTTCTGCTTTATATTACTGTTTTCCAAGAAATAGATGATTTAATTTAAAAACTCATGGTATTCATAATTCCTTCTTTCTAATCTTATTTAATAAGGACCATATTTATAACTGTTTCTTGAATCACGTCTTAAAAATCTTTTAAATGAGATATTACTTATAATATTCATATTTTGAGCTGCGGTTTAATAATAGTACTTTTCAATTAGAAAACAATTAGATAAGCTTCTCAGCTTATTAGCTTAAAAGCCTAACAAGAACCCTGTATTAATAATGCAAAATGTTTGTTTTACAAATCGATACATCCCCCTCCATATCTTAATATTTTAGAGACAGAGACATGATTCTAAATTTTCAAGTCCAAAATTTTAATTATACTTCTAATCATTAAACTCACATATCGTTTTAGTCATTTATTAAAAAATATTATTAAAAAATATTTTAAAAATGTTATTGTACATTGTACACCGCAAGGATATTTACAATATGTACATATTGCATATAAATACCTATATTTTCAATATAGCTCGGCCAGAAAACTGTGCAAGTTCTTTCTTTTTGCAGGTGCTGTCGTCTTATTCTCCATAATACGTTTTAATCGCTCTATGTTGAGTTTCTTGGGTTTCTTATGGGGGGTAGACAATCTCTTGTCACTTGGTATTGTTTTAGGCGTGATTACAGGCGATGCTGTAGGTGTTTTACTATAATCTTTCTTGTTCAATTGTGATACGGGCGTGCAACCTGAGATATTTAAACCAGCGGTCTTGTCCTTAGATTTCTTCTTTTTCCTCTTGCGGTTACTTCGGTTACTTTGCGGTGTCTCTGTCTGTGAATTATTCAACTTGTTTGGCTTTAAGTGGCTCTTTTTCTTGAATGGCAATTCGGTGTTCTTGGAACAGACAGAACATTTGATGACCAATCTACTCATCTCGTTTTTTATCGATTTCGACGCCAAAGTTGCGCGAACTCTTGGAATCTTTTGATCTGGATTTTCATTCATATTTCGCACGATCTTCTTCACCGATTTAGACATTCTTTTGCCACTTACTATCCGAACTTGATGATCCACCTTCCTCCAAAGTGATCCACAATGCGAACACGCCACTGACGGCCCAAAATTCTGCTGCGGCAGCTCTACTCTGTTGCTAAGATTTTTACATTTTTGCCTGAAAATATTTTAACAAAAATTATAAAAAGAATTCTTTTATAAATCTGCTGATATATATAAATAAAAAAGTACAATTAATTTCTTTCTTTTTAGATTTAAATCTAATTATTAAGATATAATTACAAAGTTATTCTTGATATAATTATTTTTGCACATGTCCAAACACTTAACAACAATAATCGAGTAATAATATTAAAATATGATTAATTTAACTGGATTCAATATTTCTTCATATTAATTACAAGTAATGTCAGTAAAAAAAAAACGTGCAGGAAATTACATGTAAAACATCTGTAACTCCGTAACCAATGGGCTCTTCAGCTGCGTCATGAACTGATTGACATTCCACAAATGTTTAACGGTCTCCATACTCTCCATGATTGTTGTGAAACGTCGATGGAAATGTTTTCCCGTTTATACACGCGCTGATTATCCAATTACGCGTCGCCCCTGCAAAACAATCGCGAGGTCCGCCGCGTGGTCTCAGCGATTCGCTTTAAACCGCGAAGGGACAACGTCAACAAGACGTACTGCGCCTCGTGGACCCCATCGCTCAATTAAATCGGAATTAGGGTGCTTCGGCTCTTTAGAAAAATCTCCTGAGCGGCCTGAGCCTCGGTCTCATAACCAATCTCGTGCGTCGTCCCGTCGTGTTACTCATATCGACATCAGCCGACGCAGGGTGGCCAACGTGAGGAAAAACGAGAGCGCTGGCGACGTTCCGAAACACACTTCACCGCTTCCACGTCCGTCCGCCTGCTCCGGCGCGATCACGATCCACCTTCCTTCTCCCGCCGACGCTGCGCCGTACGGCCGTCCCGCTCCGAGACCGGACAGCGCGATCTTTCTCACGCCCGCGGGACGGGTGTCCACACGGTTTCCCATCTGCATTGGCGCGACGCCGCGGACGACAGCGCGGAGGGGGGAATTCGTATTTTGTCATCCTTGTCATCGATGCACCGGGAGCCGTTCTGTCAAACAATAGAAGCGAACCGTGTCCGTCGTGCCGTGACAGCGAGTTAATCCCGTCGTCGTTGGGGGCATGGGAGACGGCAAGGAGGGCGAGCGGCAGCCGCTGCTGAAGAACGAGAACGTCACGTATAGCTCGCACGGCAACGATGCCGTCGGCGATGCGATCGGTGAGTTACACGGAGTTTAGGTTGCTGCCCCGCGCGAATTCACGCTGCCGAGAGAAGAAGCGAGAAGCGCGGCCGCCCTTTCCCGGGGACGCCCCGTTCGTCGGTCGGGTGTGTCACTTTACATTCCGAAACTGTCGTTTCAGACGAGACGCAGTCGACGGTGCACACCGTCTCCACGATCGGGCCGGACGAGCTGCCGCCGCCGTACCAGTCCGCGATCCAGGGCGGCATGCCGATGGTCACCTGCAGGGTTTGCCAGGCGATGATAGACATTTCCGGCAAGAGGGATCAGCACGTCGTTAAGTGTTGTCAGTGTAACGAGGCCACGGTACGCGTCTCGTCGAAGATTGTTTCTTTCTTGCGGTTTGTTTACCGATACACGACGCTGTTTTTGTTACCACTTACCGACTTCCATTGTCTTCTTTTCTCGCCAGCCGATACGAAATGCCCCACCCGGAAAGAAGTACGTACGATGTCCGTGCAATTGTCTGCTCATATGTAAGAGCTCCTCGCAGCGTATCGCCTGCCCCAGGCCAAATTGTAAACGTATTATCAATCTGGCACCGAGCCCCATTACGCCGCCGGTTCTGTCAATGCCGGGCATGTGCAGGGTGGGATGTGCCCATTGCCATGACACATTCTTGGTGAGTCATCAGAGATTTATAGTTATTTTGTTTTATTGATCTTCAGAGCTCTTTTGTCTCGAAATGTTGCCTTCCACAGTTTAACACGTTAAATAACGCTTTGGCTCGATGTCCACATTGCCGTAAGATATCTTCCGTTGGTCCAGACTTTGCTAGAGGAAGAGGGATTGTATTCATTATCGTCGGGATTATAGCCTTAGTAATTGCTATAGCTGTAACGGTAAGTGTATAAACTCAATTTCTTGTTTGTATTTTGTTGGTGATTTCTATAATGTTAATTTTATACCGTACACAATTACAGGTCGGGACCTATAAATATGTAAAAACAAACGGAGGAATTTATGTAGCTTATATTGGTAGGTACAAGCGGTAATCTCAGATTTCGAAAATTGTCGATACGTCGTCAATAACTTCTACTATTCAGTCGCTATTTAAAAGATTCGTCCATCACATTTTTGGATCATTTCCAGGTGCATTTCTATTGGCGCTCTTATGCCTGGGTCGCAGCATTTATTACTGTACGATGAAGATCAGTTTGATAGAGGGTCCCATGTAGTCTCCCAAACAGCAGTGAGCAACCGGTAATATAAATCGAAACCCACTGAGAGATGAATGTCATGTAATCTATTTAGAACAAAATGTTTATAGCAATGTGACATTTCAAGCCCTTTTGAGGCAAGAACGAGTATATAGGTATATTATACACATGGCCATATGTGCGTATGCAGATCTGTATTGTTTATTATAATGCATGTATACATTCTTATATAATACGCATACACATATGAATGTGTTTCGCGATCGGGAAGAAAGCAAACGTTTGCGAGGCTTTCCTCAGGTAAGCTAACGATCGTAGGAAATCTCTCTCGGGAAGCCTGTATTTTACGAAGAATAAATTGTTCCTATGCACTTTTATATGTGCAAGCATAGGAGCAATAGCTATGGGCTCTCGCGAGTTTTATTTTACCTACTGACTAGAGAATACGCTCTATATTCAAATATACGTACACACATGCTTTCTATAACACATTACGCGTATTAAGTGCACACAGATGGAATCAAAGTGCAAATGTGCTCATAATATTCCAATCGTACGTACGAAGTAAGTTTTAAAACCCATATACGGGTCTGTACGAATCTGTTTTTTAAATTTATTCCTATATTCTATATAAAAGCATCTGTATTAAGAGCATAAAAAAATCGCATTGTTTCAAATAAATTTCTGGGTTTATATCGATTTTGTAGCAACACATGAATGAAACTACGTGGGAGATACTAATGTATATATTAATAATATAAATAATGCACTTAGTGAGATAAAAATCCAAATATAGAATTTCCCTGGTTATTACGTGAAGAATACTGTAAGATGTTTTGAGTTTTCGCTGTAAAGTACACGTGATATCATCGGTCATGAAATATAGTCTTATTGATTAGGTTTTCGTGTCATATACCTTTTATAATCTGCAATACTCTTTCAAAATGCAACTTCTTTCTAGGCAACTCTTTCTAAACAACTATTCTCAACTCTATACATATAAGTTTCCTTATCACATAATGGAGGATATGTTATACTACTTGTTGAAAAAATAAATTCCGTTTGGTAAAAAACTAACGACTGTATTTATTACATAACATGTGGATAAATTTGTCGACCCGAGAAAAAAATGGGCAAATATTTAATTGCCATACGAAACATTTATATGTGTATTATACATATATTACATTTACAGAAGTGATTAGGAACGTTATTCAAACAATGTACAAAATAATCAGGAAATACAGAAAATGCGGCGCGTTATGTAATTTGTGCTTTCGATTACAGATTATTTAAATCAATCCGTACTTTTCGAATAGTAGTTTCGCTAAATCGTGGGATAAACAAGACAGCTTCGCGAAATGATATCTGAAAAATTCACACCTTGGCAGAATAGCAGAAAGCAGAAGCCAATCAGAATTCGCGTTAAGCGTGGTAAGCAGAAGGGAGCGTCCCGTTTGACCACTCACAGCCCCCGATGCTTGGAGTTTTCCCCCGAACCAACCAATCAGATATTTTTATTTTAAATCAATTGTGTACTGTGCATGCATACTGTAGGACGAGGACAGCCACGTAATGTTCTCTCTCTAATTTTTCTACCGATAGTGAATGGCCGCGTTCAGCAGACACAACTGTTGAGTGTCGTCTTATCAACACTCTTCGTTGATTGGTTGGTTCTAAAAGTAAGAGCCAATCACGTTCGACTGCTACTGAGCGGTTTGGTCTGCTGAACGCGACCAATGGCTGCGTTCAGCCGAACTTCTGCTTAGCGAAGCGAAAGGTAGCAATTAAGTGTAATTGGTTGGATCCAAAGGTAAGAACCAATCACATTCAGTTGCTACCTTTCGCTTTGCTAAGCAGAGGTTCGGCTGAACGCAGCCAATGTACTGAATGTGTATTCTCTCTCGTAGGATTTTGACAAAATCGTCTTATGGCCTATAAGGTCTCTAGTTATGGAGGATTTATCGGTCGAACGCGGTGTGAATCCTCCATTATCGCTAGATGATGGGATCGACTTCCAGGGGCTTCCAGGGTTTCCGGAATCTCGCATGGGATAGGATAGTCGATAGCGCATCTGGCCGCAGGGGGAAGTGATCCGCGCAGTTCCTTGGGCTTAAATACACTTACACAGTTTCGAATTCAAAGTTATACGAGTTTATGAGTTTTATTACGCAGTTAACTTCTGTTTGGGACGCTTTTATTGAGGCATCCATGTTTATCTAGTCGAAGTCTCTTTTGTTTTGATGTGATGCAATTTAGATTCGGTTTTGCTACTATGACCACATGGGTTACCCCCACGGTCTTTCCTTTATTTGAATAAAAAAAAATAGCGCATCTCTTGCGGAACGCATGAACGATGATATAACCCATGGTAGGAAAACGTAGATGAAAAAAATCCCTAGCGCTGTCACACATCACACACACACGTAACTGCGGAACAGCTGATTGCTGAAAGTGGCGAAAAGGAAAATCAGCATCAATTGGGAGGTTACTGTGAAATATGTGAGAAAAAGGGTCAATCACGTCGCAGCCTGAACGGTACTTGACTTAACAGCTTGGATATTAACAAGAAAATACGAACAACGAGTACTATATCCTCAGATGTGACAGATGTTCGATGTAAGAAATGTCACAAATTGATATTCAGGATTTGTTTAACAAAAGCAGGTGAGATGATCTTTTCTGCAAAAGGTCTTTTCGCAAAGAACCTCCGGACACAGCTATCGTTATTCAGTTACGTTATTTTCGTCGTAAACGTTGATTGAAAATCACAAGAGCATAAGAGGTATTCTTATAAGTGAACAAATAATTGTTCTTTATCATATGGCGTAATTCACCGTAAAAGATATTCAAAGAAAATAGAAAATGATTATTTTTTACTATAATTGTCGTCTAAAATTAGTGTATAATGTATTAAAGTTTGATCAATGATGTTATTATGAATTTAGGTTTCCTAGCGTTTGGGGCCTTCTACTCGTAGTCTTATATTCGCCAGTAGGATTTGTACTTGTGCTGCTGCGACTTTTGGTGGTGTTGCTGCTCTGGCTTCTAGCGTCGCTACTACCCGATTGCAATTCTCTTCGAGCATTCTTAAGTTACGGCATTAGAATCGCTTTTGGCATCGTAGTTAAGATCGATCCCGAGAGCGAGCCCCGAGACAAACAGTCGAGGATAATAATCGCTAATAATGCATCCGTTTTGGATCACTTTGCTCTACGTCGCGCGACGGAAACGGTAGTCCCCAGCGTTTGGGAGCTACCTACTGCCTTGAGTAACACGCTGGGATTACAAAAGATGAATATGAACAGCAAGGAGACGCTAATTGCAAACATAAAACAATTTCTTTCCACCTCGACGTACAGCGTGGCCGTGCAGCCCGAGTTCAGCACGACTAACAACCAGGTCGCTCTGTTGAAGTTCAATTCCTGGCCGTTTAGCATAGAAACATCTGTCCAGCCAGTCGCTATCAAAGCGTCGAGATCAGAACTTGTACCTGTGCATCTTACCTCGTTGGCTTCAACCTGGTTGACAGAAGTATTTTGGTTTATGTTCGTGCCCTATACAGTTTTCACACTCAGGTACCTGAAAATCAGACGAAACTCCGACCACGAGATACTTGTGCGAGAAGTAGAGAAAGATATCGCGGATGCTCTGGGACTTCAGACATGTTCTCACACCGTATCGGACAAAACGGAGTATGAGAAGCGTTACCGCACGAGAATACTCAGTAGCGCGCGTCCCAACAGAAATACGCCAAACTCACAAGTTATACATAGTATAGAAATACAAAGGATGGCTCGTCAAGTCAGCGAAGTACTTCCATTGGTCCCACACAACGTGATTCTGCGAGATCTCAGTATGTATATATATATGTGTATATATATTAGGTTGGCCAATAAGTCCGTGCGGTTTTTTACTTATAAATGTTACTTACAAATAACCGCACGGACTTATTGGCCAACCTAATATATACACTTGTCTGAATCTTGATTTAATTTTATTAATCTTACTGTAGTATGTTTTATTAATCTTACTGATTGCGTGGTGATTTTTTTGAAATACAGTAGCAGTTATTAAATCTGCTTTTCTATTTTTTTGTCGCAGTGAAAACTCGAAACGTTGATGTTACGATCGCCAATATTCTTGATGGCATAGTTACTTACACTCCAGAACCCAATCCCCCAGCTCAATCGTCCGTAACGTCGTCCAGTGGATCTTCTGCAAAGGACAAGGTATTGGGCACTACTTCCTTCCAAGAGAAGAAAGCTAAAATGATACAAGAAGCCAGAGAAAGGTATATTAAGAAACATGGACTGACAAATTGCTGACATTCTTACTACTGTTTTATTCTGGTTATAACACTGTCATTATAATAACATCTATATAACATGTTTTACTGTTCATGTATTATATTTACTATTACTTCATGTGAATACATCTTTATTTCTAAAATATGATCACACGTAATTGTACAAAAACCTATCCATTATAATCATAAGCAATATTTCGCAAAAAATCTTTTTTTTAAATAATGCAATCATCAGTTATGTACTATATAATACAGTTATCGATCATAACGGAATTACACGCTTGAGCAGCAGGGAGATAAAGACTTTTGTATCGAATTATCGATTATGTCATTGTAGATAAACAAAATTTCACAGGTACACACCATACTTTTTTGACTGTACATACAAGAGGCCAAAAAAATTTATATTATTTTTAATGTAAAGAGATTTATATTTCAATATATATTTAAGTTTTAATATAAAATAATATGTGTAATAAAATGATATAATATGTATAATATAAAGATTATAATCTCACTTATAATCTTTAAATCATAAACGAGAATAAATATTATAAATAAAAATTACATAAGTCTGTTAAATTGAACAATAAAACGTAAATTTTTCTTTTTAATGGAACTTTAAATGAATTTCGACATATCATTTTGATGCTTAATTACTAAGTTATTGACAATTGAGTCATAAAAGAATACGCCACAAAAAAGATTTATTAAAGAAGTAATGTAAGCGGAGAAAAGTATGGGATACCTATGTAACAGCCTATATAGACTTATAAAATCTATTTAATTATAATTACATAATTATATGATTTGTATATATCTATATATCTCATATCTCATATTATTCGTATATATACTGTCTAAAATTCTCCATCGAGTTCCTCTCGTAATTCTTAATAATTACGATATATAATTGAAGCATATAATATCTAATATAATATCTATGAAAAAAATAGGTGAATGTAGGAAAAAGTGTATTCATGCTTCTCTTAAATATATCTTATATATTGTACTCCATTTATAAAGTTTGGAAGACTTGTTTTGTACTGTACGTGTTATATGTGATATAAAAAAATATAAAATCTATAACGCATAGGAAGAAGCAGATTAGTAAAATATAATACAAAAACAATACTTTTATACTATTATAATGAAATTATACAATATATTGCACTCTAGATACTTAATATTCTCACTGATATTATTATTTAATATTGACACATACAATAACAAATTGTTAAGTATAAATTTTAATAAATGTATATGATACAAATTAAAATAAAGCTCCTTGAGTTTTAAAAAAATAAAATAAAATTGTTTTTAACATTTATTATTACAAGAACTTATAATCAACTATTATAAAGAGCATAAACCATTAAAAGCAAAATTAATAATAAAATTACATATAAATAATCATAGCCAAAAATGATAGTCTTAGAACACTACGGAAGTTTTCTCTCATTATTATATATTATATTATTATTAAATTATATGGCCTATTATTGTCTGTTTTGATTTCTAGAATAATAGTGACTGGTGGTCAAAATGCATTTTATATAATTAGTATTTAAGATTGCCAACACATACATATTTGATATCAAGAAAATCTTCAACCCCATGCTTAGAACCTTCCCTTCCTAAACCAGATTCTTTCACCCCACCGAAAGCGGCTTCCGCGCATGAAATTAATCCCTCGTTGGCACCTACCATACCGACTTCTAACTTACGCGCAACTCTAAATATCTGTGATATGTCCTGCGAGAAGAAGTATCCAGCCAAACCAACGGGTGTATCATTGGCTTGTCTCAACACGTCTTCCTCGCTGGAAAACTTATTAATTACAGCTACGGGCCCAAAGATTTCTTTGTTGTAAATTTGCATGTCTTCCGTTATATTGGTTAATAGAGTAGGTGCATAAAACAATGGTCCGAGATCTGGTAATGGATTTCCGCCGCAATGTACCTTAGCACCCTTCTGAACTGCGTCCTTTACTAAACCGTCTACCATGTCCAATTGACTTTTCTTAATAAGCGGCCCGTGAGTGATACCCTCTTTACTACCATCTCCCAACTTGATATCTTTTTCAATTCTTGCCACAAATTTCTTAACAAACTCGTCGAAAATATCAGCTTCTACGAAAAACCTGTTTGCCGAGACACACGTTTGACCAGTGTTGCGAAATTTGCTGGCCATAGCGCTGTTTACAGCTAAATCTACATCCGCGGATTTGAATACGATATACGGCGCATTACCACCTAATTCAAGGCCAAGTCGTTTCACAGTTGAGGCGCACTGCTTATATAAGATCTTTCCTACAGCTGTGGAGCCGGTAAACGATAACACTCTTATCTTTGGATTTTCGCACAGCTCTTTGCCGACGGCAGCGGAATTTGTTATACTTGTGGTGAGTACGTTCAGGATCCCCGATGGAAAGCCTGCCTGTTCCGCGAGGTCTGCTAGCGCCAGTGCCGTCAGCGGAGTGTCCTCGGACGGTTTAACGACGCACGTACAGCCAGCGGCAAGTGCGGCACCCGCTTTCCTGGTAATCATAGCATGTGGAAAGTTCCACGGTGTGATTAGGGCAGCTACGCCGACTGGTTGCCTTAATAAAAACAATTCTCTGTTCGACGCAGGAGCCTGCAGTACTTCTCCTCCTATTCTTCTAGCTTCCTCCGAAAACCACTCGACAAAAGAATTTCCATATTTAATTTCCGCTCGCGACTCGGCGAGAGATTTTCCATTCTCTTTGGTCAAGATACGAGCCAGATCCTCGGAATGCTCGACCATTAGATTGTACCACTTTCTAAGCAAATCGCTTCTTTCCTTCGCCGTGGTTTTACTGAACGTCTCGAAAGCTTTGACAGCTGCGTTGATGGCTACTTGAGTATCGGCAACGTTCATATCAGGAACATGAGCAATAACGGTATTGTCGACTGGATTGCAAACAGGAAACGTCTGCTTGCTGCTGGCACCTATCCAATTCCCATTGATATAAGCATTATCCCTCAGGAGATGCATCGCTCTACAGCTCAAAGGCACGTGATGCGACAGGCACCGTTGTAACAATCTTGTTCTAAGCATTCTTTCGCACAAGTGACCAAACGTATCCTGTAAAGAATAGAGATTCGCAATAGAAGAACAGTTACACGATAGAAATTAGAGATCTTCAACTGAAAGTATGTACAAATTATGTTGCACTGACTCTGATTTGAACTTTATTCACCCTTCCGTGATTTTCCTGTGTGATGATATATATACGTCGAAATACGCTTATCAGTATAATCATGTATGATTACGTCTCCCTTCCATAGGTGACACGAGTGCGAAACACGTTTACAATCGCAGATATATTTCTAATATCTAATCTGCCTCTGATTCTTAATGTATTTTAAATTTTGAACCACGTTTCTTTTATTTTAGGTATTTTATTAACGCTTCTAACACTTACCTTTAACAGGTTATTAATGTGACGACAATACTGCGCGCTGGTTCATTTAGCGTGATTTAGCGTCCGACCGGTCGAGTGTTGTCAATTGAAAGCACGATTGACGGAACGAGCTTATGTAAGTGACGTCCTCTTGCTGTCGATCGCATCGCGCCTCGACTTATAAATCCTCGGCAGTAAACAGTGCCGTGACGCCGTGATTGTATTGTCAACGCGTCGGCGTCCCTCGGTATCCCTCAGTCAACACGCTTGTTATCAGGCTGGCTCTTGTTTGTTGCGTTGAAATCGCACTGAGAAAAATACGACGAAACTCGTCATGAGCAGCAATACGAAGCGGACCATCTACGTAGGCACGTATGAATTAATAAAAATATTTTGATGCACCGAATAATGCACGTGACACTTAACCTCAACTTCCAAACCAAACTCCGAATAATTTAACCGGCGATTGATTCAACCGGTATAATTGCTCACAGCAGAATCTCTGACCGTGCAATTCGTTGTCTCTGAACTAAGTTTTCTCTCTCTGTGTGTCAAGCAACAAAAAGTTAATAATTCTGTTGAGAAAATGTTATAGGTATTACTTAACACGTTTGACTCTCCATTAAATTAATCAAAGTTTGGTCTGCAAACATTTGAATGTATGCAAATTGCTATTATTTATTTGTATATTTGAGAAGTATACTTTTGCTATGATTATTACCGAGAAATATTGCGCGGCAAGCTATCGTTCAGATTAATGATTTGATCCCATTTGTTTTCAGGTGGTTTAGCCGAGGAGGTCGACGAGAAGGTGTTGCACGCAGCGTTTATACCATTTGGAGAAATTGTCGACGTCCAAATACCATTAGACTATGAGTCTGAAAAGCATAGGGGATTTGCATTCATTGAATTTGAAACAGCAGAGGATGCAGCCGCGGCTATTGATAACATGGTACATTTGTAAAATGTTATTAATAACATTGGCAGATGATTTGATAGCAATAATCTGATATCGAGAATTTTCTAGACTTTGTCGTAAACAATTTACTTGAGGAATCATTCATTGATAATGTCAACTCTCACAAGCCACTTTCAACTGAACGATTTAATTTTTAATTTAAAGGATACAGAAAGCATTAATTTGATATAAATCTGACTTTTTCTTATCTAATCATTAGCAATACGTAAGAATCAAAGTGACATGTTGCTTATGTTTGTAGCGTGATAATTTATCAAAATTAATCCATGTTGATTGACAGAACGACTCGGAATTGTTTGGCCGGACAATAAGAGTAAATATCGCTAAGCCGCAGAAGATAAAGGAAGGTTCGTCGAAACCGGTATGGGCGGACGACACTTGGCTGCAAGAACACGCGGGCGAGACATTGAAAAGTGACGACAGTACGAAGACAAATGATGTTGCGCAATCAAAGAAAGCAAAGCAGAATCCTCAGGTTTACTTTGACATAAGCATAGGAAAGCAAGAGTTGGGCAGAGTTATCATGATGTTACGAGCGGACATTGTACCGAAGACTGCGGAGAACTTTCGGGCGCTTTGTACGCACGAAAAGGGATACGGATATCAGGGCAGCATCCTTCACAGGATTATTCCAGATTTTGTATCCTTAAATATCATGTTCTTTTTATCCTGTTTAAAAACAGCATCTCGGATAGTTTTATTTATTTTTAACTTGAAGTAAAAATCCTTAGCGCAAATATCACAGATGTGCCAAGGAGGCGATTTTACGAATCACAATGGTACAGGTGGGAAGTCGATCTACGGCAATAAATTCGACGATGAGAATTTTGAATTGAAACACACCGGTCCGGGAACTCTATCGATGGCCAATTCCGGCCCGAATACAAACGGATCACAATTTTTCATGTGCACAGCGAGAACGGATTGGCTGGATGGAAAACACGTTGTCTTCGGACATGTCCTCAGTGGATTAGATGTACTTAGAAAGGTTGAAAAATTTGGAACGAAATCAGGCAAGCCGACAAAGAAAGTCGTCATAACTGCCTGCGGAGAATTAGTATAATTATTTCTGTGTATATGTTTTGTAATAAATCGAAACTTGTAGAAAAAAAGTCAGAATTTTTATATTTTAATAATTATATAGACCTTTAATTTCGTTAAGCAATAAAATTATATACATACATATCTGCATATTTAGAATATTTTTTTTCTCTTTGTCATATCACGCAGCTTAAAGGCACGTTACCTGAGTGTCAGAGTATATGTCTATAGAGATAACATTACGAGTCCATGTCGTATATGTATATGTAATACAGATGTAATATTGCGAGATCAAAGTTTACCGTGATTCGCGTACGATATGCAATGATGATTTGGCACAACGCTAAGTACATTTGTCTCACGTCTTTTACAATGCTGCGTACAACGATCAACCAAAGTGTCCGGAAATTCGGTGCCAATGCGCCTTCCACGATAAAATGCAACCGACTGGAAGGAAAAGTCGCGATCGTGACTGCATCCACAGAGGGGTATTGTGAATATACTTAATATTTTTAACATTAATTTAAATGCTCCGCGCGATATGTATAAACATTCGTCCTGAGGAACTCGATCCTAAGGAATTTTTTCTCATTTGCTAACACGAAAATCAATTATAACATAGTTGACGTCTACTTGAATGTTAATGAATTCTGTAATCTTAGGTTATATGATCTTTGAATCTTCACAGAATAGGCTTTTCCATAGCGAAACGTTTAGCGCAGGAAGGCGCTAAGGTAATGATCAGTAGCCGCAAGGAATCGAACGTGAAGCAGGCCGTGGAGGAACTCAAGTCCGAGGGTTTGCAAGTCGCTGGTACTGTCTGCCACGTAGGAAAAGCAGAGGACAGGAAAAATCTGTTTGAAAAAGTAAAAGAGATAATAACGAATCATTACTTTCTTTGGGAAAAGTTTACATCCTCATTTTCATAACTTTTTCAATTATAAATTGTATCGTCGTCTAATTATTATTAACATATGTCAAAAAGTAAGTTATAAAGTTGTGAAAAATTACAGACCAAAACTGACTTTGGAGGCTTGGATATTTTGGTGTCTAACGCAGCTGTTAATCCAACAGTCGGCTCAGTATTGGATTGCTCTGAAGAAGTGTGGGATAAGATTTTCGACGTCAATGTCAAATGTACATTCCTGCTGATGAAGGAGTCCTTGCCGCTTCTTAAATGCAGCAAATCGCCTTCCATCATCATTGTGTCTTCAATCGCTGGATATGTTCCTTTTAGCGTGAGTCAAATTAAAGATGCTTGGATTAATATCTTTTTTTTCTATTAAATATTAAAATATTAATGTCATTATCAACTTCTTCCAGTTACTGGGCGTATATTCAATTAGCAAAACTGCTTTATTGGGCCTGATTAAAGCTGCCATGGCCGAGCTTGCGAACGATGGGATCCGTATAAACGGCATCGCGCCGGGAATAATAAAAACTAAATTTTCGAAACCGGTATTTTTCTACAATTATTTTAAAACTATATGCGATTCTCTGTCAAAGTTATATTAAAGGAATATAAATTATTATATTTTTATGCATGTATTATAATCTCGTACATAAATTTATTACGTTTTTAGTTGTACGAGTCGGAAGGCGCGCACGAACTTTCCAAAATGCAAAGTAGCATGAGAAGACTCGGAATGCCGGACGAGATTGCAGGCGTAGCTGCATTTCTAGCAAGCAACGACGCTTCTTATATCACCGGCGAGACCATAATAGTGAGTGGTGGATCGAATGCAAGGCTCTAAATCACTTTACAATAATATATCGTTTAATATATTGTATATATACGTATATGCGTGTGCATAAATGAAAATGTTTTTTTATAGAATTTTTTGAAAAATTGTATATATCTATAAGTTAAGTTTGGTGTACTTATATTAGTATACGTTGAAAAATTGTAAGAAATATTATGCCAAGAGAACGTAAAGTAAAAACTAAAGTTATATATTCATTATAAATAATTCGATTTGTTTTCCTCAACCTTTCAAAGCATTAGCATTGCGTGTGCATTTGTTTCATTTCAAAGTACATACATAATGTAAATGTATGTACTTTGAAATGAAACAAATGCACAATGTATATTCAGGATTACACAAATGTTGCACTCACATATATCGGACATAATTTTTTAACGAAATTTTCTTGTACATATATCTATAAGTTTGCACTAACTTGGTGTACTTAATTAGTATACCGTAAAGAAATTGCAAGAAGTATTTCATGAAGAAAATGTAAAGTAAAAACCAACGATGTTATACGTTCATTATAAACAATTCGATTTATTTCCCTCATTCTTTTCGAAGTATAAGCATTGCGTGTGCATTTAAAGTATCAGGATCATAAAAATGTTTTAAAAACATGAATTTACGCCATATTCGGGTCTCCTATTTCGCACCCAAATATTCACGCATCATAATTTCATAATTGATTTTTGATTGCAAATTCATGTGTTGATGACCTCCTTTAAAAAAAAAAAAAGATCTAATTGAAGGTCGCTTTTTCCCCTGTCGAGCCAACAGTCTATTGGCTGATATGGATTTCCGCGAAACACTGCTCCAATGACGTCACGGAGCCAAGCGGAAAGCCGCGCGCGATTGGCGCGTCACCTCCGACCCAGAAAGAGATCGCCGTCGGAATGGAGCTCGTCGCGAGAACGCGAATAATTTTCCTCTCGTAAGTATCGCGCGAAACGTAAAAGCTGCGATTTCATGGACGCTAGAAACCAGCGCGACAGCGTCAAGAAAATGTAGTAAGGAAAAAGTTCCGTTGAATTTTGCGGTACGCTAAAAAGCTGAGACGATCTGAATTTTTTCCCCCACTACATTTTCTTGACACTGCCGCTGGTTTCTAGCGTCCATGAAATTGCACCTAAAAAACGCGCGGGTTTCGATGCCGCAATCGGGCCACGTGCGGCGATCATTTCTGACATTTCTCGAGTGACGAGCGTCGTGCCATGTCGTCATCGAGCGTCGCGGCGGCGGGCGTCGGCGGTGCGCGGCGCGCAATGACGTCCGCCGTCCTGACGTCGCGGTCGCGTTTGACGTGAATCGCGCGGCGCGCGCGCGATCGATTCGTTCGATTCGAGCTCTCGAGCCGCCCGCAGCGCGCGCGCGGGGCGAGTGTGCAGCGACGGCGACGACGGCGACGACGGCGGCGACACCGTTCGTTAGGGGCGCCGCGCGACCGAGCGAGATCTACACCTCTCTCTCCGCCTCGCTTTTATTTACTCCGCTCCGCGCACACATACCCGCGCGCGCGCGCGCGCGCACGCACGAGAGACGCTGGACACGCTCGCGGCCTCGCGCTCGCGCTCGCTCTCTCGGACTCTCTCCCTCCCGCGGAATTGATAAACATGGCTGTCGTGCTTTGTGATGATTATCAGCGCGAGTTTGTGCGGCCGAGTGTCGCGCCGAGTGACCGCGAGTAATATGGATGAGGGACGCCAGTCCCGGAGACCCAGGTAACGACGACGCCGAGAGCACTGCGTCTCTCCCTCGCTCTTCCCCTCCCCTGTACTTCCTCCGCCGTCGTCGTCGTCGTCGTCGTCGAGCGAGAATTCGTGGATTCCCCGCTCGACGGCGGATGTTGTTTGCAAGTACGCGACTCGCTATCGCTCACCCCGTTCGCGCGATCCTCGATCTGTATCGCGAGCGTTTCCTATTTTTCGTTTCCTCCCTCCCTCCCCTTCCCTGCTCCCCTGCGACCGCGAAGGTGAGTGAACCTGCTGCTCGCGCGTCACGTATATCGCTTGGCTGCACGGCCCGTCACGCGTTATTTGCGCTCGCACGGCCTGACACCGTCGTGCCTCATTAGACGGGGAAGCTCCCTGTCGAGAAAACGTGCGTGTCTCACGGCACCGATCCCCGCGATTTTCGCTGGATTTCCGAGCTGTCCTTTTCCCCCGCCTCCGTGGTCGCGTAGCGTTACCTCCCGGGGAACGCTCGTCGGGATCTGTCGCTATGCACGCGACACGTCAAATCTCGTCGACTCGGAGCTCCGTTTGCACGTTACTTACGTATATCCATGCTGTCTCAACCACGCAAGCACCATTTGTACATTCAAATCGGAGTCGGAGCAAGATCGGCAAATTTAAATGTGTTTAACGTCAGTACTTGACGACGTGTTTTCTAATGTAGCTACAATTTGCTTGAACTAAAATGTCCTGCTTGCATAAACATGGGTCTCACGTTTGTAATCTTAAGTAAAACATTTGGGTAGGCAAATGCAAACATGGTTTTGAAATGGGGACAAATATTTAGTGACTGTAACGCCATATCTGTATCCAATTTCATGACTAGATAGCTGTTTATTAGAGAAGAAGGTATAATTATTATATATGTAGACAGTTATAAGAGATATGTGAGAAGCTATAAATAAGACATTGATATTAATATGTCACGCATGGATTTATCTTTGCATTTGTCTCCAAACTAATAATTTTGCTCTAAAATCTTACATTGAATTGCCTATAAATGTTTACTGCTAATATATGCTCCACTTATTTGTTTTAGGCTGTCGTCTGGGTGAGCAATGAATGTACTTCGTATTTTGACACCGTGTGTGTTACAACGCAGACGCATAAGGGGTATAGATAATACTGATAAAAGGGACTCCTGGTTCATGAGAAGACAGCTTGGAGATGCCTCTCACATGACACATAGAATGGGTGCTTCTGCATCATCAAGCATCACCAGTGTAGGTGGAGATTCGGTCCAAGCAGCCAGACTCTCGGCGTCAAGTAGTCCGGAACAACATGGCATTGCAGTTAGGTACATATTATCAATGTTTTATACAATTTGCAATATTTGTAATGTCATTTTGCTTAGCGTTTAAGTTTTTAAATAATAAAAGAAATATTTAGTTCGTGTTTTACGAAGCGCGTAAAGCTTTGAACAATGACTATCTTTAAGAGTATTATCTCAAATAAGAAATGCAGAGAAATAATGAGTTTAAACAGTAAAAGTAATATGCTGTATCATATTTTATAATATATAAGTAGATACCGATTCATAGATGAGAGTTATAGATTTGATCGCACATCAAACTTTCTATAGTTGTTTATTCATGTATAGAGAGAAAAAGAAGAAGATGACAGGATTTGCGACGCTGCGCAAGAAATTTATTAGGAGACGTCGCTCCTCTAAAGCGTGTGATCATGGTAGAATTATTAGAGACCTGGTGTCCACATGGAGTCACTTAGAAGCGACCGCTTTGCTTGAAGAGTATGAGGCGTTAGCTGCGTTGAAAGATCTTCATGTTCAAGCCGAATTAGCCAGACCGCCAGCTGCTACTTTTAAGCAAGATCTGTCGATGTTATATGATTACAAACATTGCTCCGATGTGGATCTTGTATATAGAGGAGCGTGTTTTCCCGTTCATAGAGCCGTGCTTTCCGCCAGATGCCCATACTTTAGGGATTTGTTGGCTGGTTGTCCTGGTATGTATTTTAACGATAGTTTACATTTCTTTTATAATTTGAAAATTAATATTAAATGAGATGCTGTTATATTGTTCACGCATTATATGTATATTTCATAAAAAAATTGCAGGATATGGTGCTAGAATATGTTTGGAGCTACGAACTCCGCATCTCGAGGTGCAGATGTTCTCAGCGTTACTACGATATCTTTACACTGGTGATATTTGTCCGCACGATGCGACTTTGGAAGCGAACCTACTCCGGCGACTCGGAGAAGAGTTCGGAACTCCAAATCCACTGGAGCATGATCTCAGATATTTGCTGGATACCGGTGATTATGCGGACGCCGCTCTCGTATTCACATCGGACAGTGATTATCAAAGACCGGATAGTGGAAGTTCGGAGTACGGATTTCGCCCCAAATTAGAGCTGCCATGTCACAAAGCGATACTTTCCGCAAGATCTCCTTTCTTCAGAAATTTAATACAAAGACGGACTAGATCGGGCGAGGATCATACAGAAAGGGCGCTTCACATACCTACTAGAATAGTGTTGGACGAAAGCGTGATACCTAAACGATATGCCAGAGTATTGCTACATGCTGTGTATCTAGATACCGTTGATTTGTCATTGATACTGAGAGGAAGCGGTTGTGGAAATAGTGCTGGTAGTTTGGGAGAGGTAAGAAAATCTTAACATAGAAATATTCCGTACATTACGTGATATACGTTAATATTATACGTTAATACTTTTGTTTAAATTTACAGGTTCAAGCTCTGACACATACGGGCAGAATGCGACCAAGCCCATTAGAGGAAGCGATGGAATTGTATCAGATTGGACGGTTTCTCGAGCTTGATATATTATCGCAAGGCTGCGAGGATCTTATTTTAGAGTATCTCACCTTGGAATCACTACCGACTGTTCTCAAGTAAATCTGATTACTAATAGATCTTTTACAACCATTAGAAATTAGATTGTTACTAAAAAAAAGTACATTACGTGCAGGTGGGGCAGTCAACCTCATGGATCAGCATGGGTGCACAGACAAGCGTTGCATTACTTAAGGGAGGAATTTCAGCCAATTGCTTCGTCCTCGATTCTTCATCAGTTAGATCACGCCCACTTAGCGAATGTTTTACAGAGCCATTTTTTACAAGCGAGCGAACTTGAAGTACTGCAGGCAGTGCTCAAGTGGGGCGAACACGAATTAGTACGTCGAATGGAGGATCGGGAACCTAATTTGCTTAGCCATACTGTGCACTCGGTGACGAGAAAGGGTATTAAGAAACGAGATCTCAGCGACATCGAATTGCGGGAAATACTAAGTGAACTTTTGCCGCTTGTCAGAATAGATCATATATTGCCGCCGAATAGCGAAGCATTAGCACAGGTATATTTTTCAAAACATTTTTAAATTATTTAAAAGTAAATATATTTCTCGTTAATACATATTTTTTTATATTGATAATTTAGGCTATTAGGAGAGGACTGGTTTCAACCCCACCAAGTCACATGATAGGAGACGAAAGAGATAATTTGAGGGTGAATGCTTGGATAAGAGGTGGAAAGAAAAATGGATTTTTTGTGCGACCAAGGCTATTCATGCCGTATTACGAAGAAATTAAGGTGATAATAATACATGGTTTTCAAAACCAGAAACATATTAATGACAATGGAATATACTAACGAAAACTATGTTTATTCGATATTAGTCTTTGGTGGAAGAACAAATGATTCAGGAAGCTGACCTAGTGAGATTACGAAGACCGCGATACGTAGCGGATATACCAGATGCGCTGTACATGGTTGAGGAGAAACCGAGAGCTATGGGTACCGCTGGTGTTGATGTTCTTGCAGCTGCATTTCCAGGTATTGCAACATTAAATTATTATCTATTTTATATAGCTAAAACTGATATTGTAAACTTAACTTTTATATATATTTATTCGACATAAAAATACAGACAACCTTATAATAAGAATGTGAGAATGCTCCAATAATAAATTCAATATAAACTTTTAATATCAATCAATCAAATAGTGGATGGAAAATTGATAAAAGGAAAAATAATAGATAGGCTTAACTTATAATTGATGTAAAATGAAAGGTCTAATTCGATTGTGTTATAGTACCAGACTCTGCAACAATGGCCGCAATGCTGAAACGAGAGCAGAAATTGAAACAATCGCCCAGTTGTCAACGAGCCATAAGTTTGCCGCTTTCTTCGCGACACGAAATTAATCGGCAAGTGCGACTGCGCGTTGTCAGGGAGTTTAACTTACCCGATACTGTGGCCGATCTTCTCGAAGTAAGTATTTTCTATGTTACTGCTTGCTTCTAAATAGTTTGCAATTTATAAAAATAACAATAATAGTAATAAAACGTGCATAATAATACATCCGCGTTGCATGAGTAAATTGAGACCAGGAAAAATCAATATGAAAATACGAAACGGAAGATAAGAGATTTCTGAGACGATTAAACCATAATGTAGCGTTCCTTTTATTAATCTCGAGTGCCGTATGCGTGATCCGTAAATGTTGTTACGAATGAGTGCCATAAAACCTTAGAAACGTATACCAGCATAACATTCTGAAATATCTTCAAGAAGAATTTAAATACATTCGTACGAAGTTACATACATTTTACAGATAATTATTTTGTGGTTGAGTAAACTGTGAATAAAGACAGATAATGACTGTTTCATTGTACACATATTCTAAATTTTTATTTATTAATAATCATGTACATATGAAGCACTACTTTATAATTTACAATATTTACATAAGCGTCATTAATTTCTATATTTTTATATTAAAGCCTACTTGTTTATGATACGTTTTTTTGCGACTTAAAAAATGTTATATCTAAAATATCATTAAAAATATCAGTCGCATTTTTTAGCATTGTGACGGGATAAATTGCACATTGTTTGTGTGTTAATATTTCTATAAAAAATCTATCAAAAAATTATTGACTTAGTAAAATTAACTGTCCTTCGTTAGCTTTGGTCCTTATTTTTATTATATAATATTATCTAGTGTATTATCTTGTCTTATTATATTGTATAATATTGTCTGGAAACTTTTATCACATGTTTACATATAATTTTAGCGCGATCCTATGAATCTATCTATCAATATTTTTTTACAGTAATTATTCTTATACCAAGATAAGACTTTTTTTTTTAAATTTATTTGTTACGGGCACAATTTTGCTTCTAATCAATTCACGAGCCATCCCTTCTGATCGAATATAGATAAAATGTGCAACATCTTCTGTTTATAATTATCATCATCGATCCCACCTGTGAAAACTAATTCATCCGCCGTTTCGGTTGCCGTTTGTGAAACGGAGCCACGCGCCGCTTGTATCACTTGCACCATCATGATGCACTGGCTAAATTTGACGGGTGCACACTGATTCAATTGCTCCATAAATTGGCCCTTGGGAAACGCGTTTGTGTCTACATTCAGCGATTTTAAGCTCTCGATGAAAGAATCGTAATAAAAGTCAATCATGTCATCAAGATGATTGTCGAGTATCTCCTTCCGGGAACTCGATATGAGGAAAAATATGAGGTCGTTTACACCGTAGTTGTAGGTCGTCAATTGAAAGTCCACAATTTTCATATTGATCGGCCTGCCCGACTCGTCGTATTTGAACATCATGTTATTTACCCAGAAATCACCGTGCACCAGTGTCGCCCAAGGTTCTTCCGGCGTTATGTCATCCTTAAGTCCGTATTCGAGCGTCTTCTCGATTCTATCCAGATAAACATTCGCTTCTTTCATACTTTTATAATCGTTGTGCGCTTTCTGTACCATATCTAAGGCGCCGTTCATCGCAGCCTCGCTCAGGGGGTACCCTAGACAGGGTAGCACCGTTTTCTCGAAGAATTCGGGTCTTTTGAGCTTCAGACCGATCGTTATGGCGTGCAGCTTAGCTAAATGGGCGATCGCAAAGTCCATGTGCTCCTTGTCCAGACCTGCAATACGGTCTTGCGTCGTATAATCGTGACTCTTGAGATTTTCTAAGACGATGGCGGCCTGCTCATCGAAACACTGCGGATCTCGCAAGCCTAATCTGCCGCCTAAAAATTGCGGCACGATGACGCTTAGGGCTTCCCGAGGGATCCCGCTTTCGTTTTGCAACTTTAAAAATTCAGGTGCCACCATGCTATAAAATTCCAGTTCCTTCTTGAACGTTAGCGGACTGTCGAACAAATCTAGCAAGTACGCCGATTTTGGTGGTAGTTTCACAACCACGTTTAGAATTCTCTTCTTATCATTCTGTTCGACGTTGATAGTGACGGCCAGTATTACGCTACCGAAGTTCTCTCCCGGATCTGTTAAATGCTTCCATTCCACATCGTGTATTCGAAAATTGGGGCCACACGTTTGCATTAACAATGCGTCCAGATTTTTAACAGGGAGCGTGTCGAGCGATGATTGCGTTTTCCTAACAGAAGAAAGCCTCATATTACAGAGTTATTATTTCAACGAGTTATTATTTCAATACTAAAACGTATAATTATTAGCGTACAATTATATTGTCTGACTATAATTGTGCGACTGTAATCATATAAAAATATAGATTGTATGGAATTATTATGAAATTAAGTAATTGACATACATTGTACTGTATTTGCTATGTAGAATTTCTTGGAAACTGGGATTAAGTCTTCTTTTACGTAGATTGGATGTTGTCTAGTCGTCAATATCATATATCTTGGGACTCTTAGGCTGTAAAATAAATTTCTTTTAAACTAAAACTCAGAAATAATTAAGATAAGTGATACTATTATTTATTTTAGTCAATCTCGATTTAATCCACTAAAATTCGGTAATTTTTATATTATGTTACTAAAACTCTTTAATTAGACCGCTTGAATTTAATTGAACGGTTTTACGTGACAAAAATTATACAAAATGTAAGCAAATTTTAGCTACAAGCTTTAGGATTGATAGAATTTACTGAAAAAAAGATATTAATATATATTTGGAGAAATTAGATTTAGATATTTAATAAATTTAATTTAATAGCTTGATTAATTCAGATTTATCAAATATACATAGAATTAATACCTCTGACTAATCATAGAATTGATATTTCCACATGCAGCACGGTATTAGCGACTACTAGATAATTTTGGGGAAGGGACACGTGTTACGGATTATGAACTGTTATGGGTCATACATTATTTCAATTTACTCAAAATACCAATTCGGATTTAGTGCCGGAGTGGATTTGTATCAAAACAAGTAGTCAATATATTGAATTTGATTTAGATTTAATAACGATCATAAATCAATTCTTTTTCCAAATTTTGTGTTTGACACTTTTTCTCTCCGCATGACTTTTGTCTCATTTTTAATAAGAAAATTACAGATTTATTGAAAGAGACTTTCAAATGAAGTAGCCATAATTTTGAGTATTTGTTACGATAAAGATTATCTTATAAAGAATTAATTTACAAATTGAAACATTATAGAATAATTATAACTTTCGGCTACATGATACGATTAATTTTTTTTCCCCAATAAATTCTATCGATTCTAAAGAGATTGTACAGTTTACTTACAGCTTTGTAAAACTTTAAGTGTTATTGAGCACGCAGATATCTATCTTCGTAGCACCAATTTCTGTTTGAAAGGATAAAAGATCGCCTTATCATTACTGGATACGATTATCTTCGCGTTCTAGCTTCGATATAAAGCTGCACATGCATTTTCTACTGCCTAACGTTCGCTCGCGTATATGTTCTAGCATTAACTGTCATTACGTTGTGAAGCGTCGCTATTTTATATCATAGTAGGGAGAGAACTGTCGGTAGGTTCCTCGCCGGCTATGACTCGTTCATGCAAATTCGATTCGTAGATAAGCCAGTAAGTTTTCCTTATCGCTGCTCCGTAAAATGCACTTCGGAATGCAACGGGCATTCGGGGAAACAAGATCATACGTTCGTAACGGCTCGGATTTTGTCACGAATAAATGACGTGGCATTCGATACGCAATTGCCGTGAACTCAGAACAGCAGAACGCGAACGTTACACATTATTTTTCACTTACATGGATGCAGGTGCATCGACAGAAACTCGGATGGGCCTTTCTGGCTGGATTAATCGTGAATCGCGGCCAAAGAGCGTACAACCTATTTATAGTGAACTCGCGAAACACACGAGAAACTTTGAGCGTTAAGATAAATGTTGCAGAAACGATGTCAGCGAGTTCGTCCGTGACTAAATTATCCCCCAAAGTGCGTAAACTTTTTTACGATTAGCAACATGCAACTTTGTTAATGTCACGCTGCCTGCTCACGCCATTGCAATACGTTTAAAGCCGCGTTTTCTATCGCGTAGATAACGCTTCGGTTTTTTTTCCCCGATAAAATTAGCGACTAACGTAAACGTCGAAAGATAATAGTCGTCCAGACTTTTATAGCTCGTCGTATTGAGACATTCAATTAACTCGGTGCCCTGTATAATTGCTCGAGTGACTTCGTGATGACTGTGACGACACACTTACGGGCGCAAGCCAACGTTAGCAAGCTACGTTTTATTTCTGGTAATAGCACAAATTTATTTTCGGAAATTGTTACGCGAATAAAGATCTCTATTTACCTCAATTTATTTATTCATTTAGTATCTAAATATAATATTTAGTATCTAATGTTACGTTACATTTTTATTATTCTAAAACACTTTTCTGAATTATTGGTATATGTATTATGTAAAAATATGATTTAATCTAGGAGAAAAAAATGAATAATTAATAAAAATAAACGCATGTATAAAAATAAACGCGCGATCAATATGTATCGTAGTGTATAAATAGTTGTATATAGTTATCGTCGTATGATTAACGTTAGGATCATCAGCTTTTTATACCTTTTCTGGAATATATCTATATCTGATCAATATTGAAGGTATTGAAAATTTGAACGTCAAAAATCACTCGGAATATCCATGACCTACATCCTTATATTTGCGGAGATCCATCAATTCAACGTATTTTTGCGTATAATCGCCATATGCCGATGGGGTACTCCTCTTTGGTTTATTATTCATAGTGAATAATAGTAAATAAATTCGTAGTAAATGTTTCGAAGTAAATAACAAGCTAAGAATAAAAAGTTATTATAGGAAAATCCCCCTCGGTATTAAACTGGCCGCTTTAGCAATAATTGATAAGTTATTGGACGGCAATTGCAATCTTCGAAGAAGTTTAATGATATTGATAAAAAAAAATGACGACAAAAAAAGATGCGGAAAACTGAAGACAACGCGTGTCTCTTTTTTTTCTGCACGTTATTATGTCATGATCGGTCAATAATCACATAATCGTGTGTCGTATTGGCAATGATTATTTCTCGCTAATAAGCTTAATCACGCTTCCACGCGTATGCAAATGTGTCCTTAGCACGGAAGATGCAGCGTGTTCCGTAAGATTATAGGTATCTTTCAGGTTCTCATCCCACGAAAGCCGCATTGACGAATTAATATTTACTCCCAGATAGCATAGTGTTATTTAACTTTACGCGCACGCTCCAGATTTCTCACACTTTCTTCCATCCTCGAGTTCTTTGGCTAATTCGGGATTCTTAGTGAAAATTTCGTTGCATCGCGATCTCCTTCGATATCGTTTCAACGCTCACCGTGAAATATCTTTGTAACTCAAGGTAGCTCAAAAATTAAAATTTTTAAAATTTCAATTAAATCAGAATAATAAAACATGACATCCAAATATCACTCTTGACTTGCAAATATAAATGATGCATATCTATGTATAACGCCAGATATAACTGCAGGCCACAATATTTTTCTTTAAGTGACAACCGACTTTTTTTGGCACACAATTTTTCTTGAAAACAATTAATACGTCGGATTACTCTTCGAACCGAGACAAAACAAGAAAGAAAAATTATCGATGTCTGTTCGCGATATTGCTTACCCCTTCTGCTATTAATCGATTTGATATTGTTGCATCACTATTGTATGCGCATAAATGACTACGTGATCGAGATGACACAATCGTGGTCGTAACAATATAAGCAGGTGTCGCGAATTAATTCAAATCGCAAGAAGAACTTGCATGCCAGACACGATCTCAGCAGCTGCGCACACAGCGAAGTTTATAGCTCATAGAACTCGGAAGTAATATGGTTATTTTCCGCGTGAAGCTTAAGGTTGTATTGTAAACATACGCGGGAAGAATTGATACACTTACTCGTGTTACACAGTTTTAAGAATCTCTCGAGCTATTAAGTGATTCTATTCGAAAACTTATAGCTGTGTATGACGTATATTAAACTATTTACGCACGACAGAATATTTAATCAGCATTAAGACTCTTCTCAAGGTAGAAGATATTTCTTGTGTTCAACGTGCTCGTTATGCAAAACAATGATTTCAAAACAAGAAAGTTCGTTTGATTTTTTGTTTTTCGCTCAAAAGCGGCCGAAGCGCAATTAGGTGGGGATTGGATTTTACATTGAGCACGCTAAACACGTTCGTAAATGAAGTTTGAAACGTATTTCATATTAAAATCACATCTGTATTCACTACTCATACGCGCGCTAGCCGTTCGCCAATTCTTATCGTCCGAGCACAGTTCTGCCCTTTTTCAGCTGCCCGATATCGCTATCAATATTACATAATCACTTTTGCGTTGCATAAACGAATAGCTAGATAAATATCTCGCAGTCTCAAATGTTATAGATCTATTTTAAGGGCAAAATAAACGAGAGGAAAATCGGGATTTTTGCATGTTACGTAACACGTCTTAGGTACCGGCGTTTATTTCGAGTGACAATTAAATTTTTTGCCGCGTCACGAAATCGCTGAAAAACATCCATCAAGATGTCGCGTTTAACATGACTGGGAGTTTCTGCGCGGTTTGACACATTGATATTTTAATTATAATCCATGTTCGTTAAATTCGACGCTTTTGGGGATGAGCGTAAAAGTTTACGCGCCAATTGTGCATCATTTTATTTAAGAGCCCTCATTTCGAACCCCCAGTCGGAATAAACGATAGGAAAAAGTTTTATTATTACATAATCGCGTATTAACATTCACATTCGGTCTATCGATTACGTATTTTGCATATGTTACTATTAATGAGCACGTCATTTACCTTAACACCGACAGAGCGAGACGCAATCAGAGCACATTCACCAAGAATGCGATGTCATCGGCGTGACGTTGATGAATTCGTAACACGTGTGTAACCCGAAGCGGAGCTAGACGTCAAACTCTTGTTTCTGTTTTCCTCCGTTTTTTTGCAGCGTGCTGCCTCGTGCACCGCGCGGTGGCGTGTAGATTTTGCACAGCACTTTGTCAGCGCAATTCGCGACTAACGTCGCGAGGAGACGCTGGTCGCTGTTAAACTTTGCCTCTTATTTCTCCCCCTTTTTCCGCGCCGTAGTTCGCATTATCTGCGTTTGCTTAACGAGTAACGCGGCATTAGACGCGCGCGATAGAGACAACGTGCGGTACAACGAGCGCCAGTGATCCGAGATGATACGTGACGCGAGATGCGCATTTTGTCTCAATGCAATGAGATGCAAACATTGCGAACGAGTCCTCGAGAGATATCCTTCCTCTTCGTGAAACTGCGATTTTTCAAACAGCCACGATGTCAAGATTTCTCAATGTCCACGGTCATATGTTGATAGCTTTATCAAGATGCTTTAATCTACAAAAATAATTCGGTGGATTAATATGAATTTATATTGTGAAAAAAAAAATTTTTTTTTGCTAGATTAATTTCAAATATATTTCTTTCTGTCGCTTTTTATTTTTTACCGGCAAAAATAAAAACTCATCCTGCATTTTCTATAAAAATAGAAATTGATTTTTTCATAAAAAGAATTTCTGTCAATTTTTTTGTTAAGGCTTTCAAGTGACTTCAAGACGACGGAACAAAACACTTCGTTATATGCCATGTTGACTAAACGCTATGTTGACATTGAAGATCGTAGTTATATAACTCGCAAAATTTCTTTCGTTATCGATAGATTATTTCTTAATGATACTGAAACACTTACGATCTGTATTGTTACATTATTTATATTTACGTAACGCGAACGCGTAGCGGTGTAGCTGACTTTCGATATCGCGTACTTGAATTAGCGAAAACCACGAGCGGTATCACGCTCGAACGATGAAACGGTGTGTGCAATCGATGCAAATAGAAAAAACATAGATATACATGCAAATGGAAAAAACATAGATACAGGGAATAGACATATAGAGAAGGAATATACCGCAATATGTTTTATTTTTGTTTCTTATTGTTTTATTCTTTTTATTCGTAAAATGTTAGTGGCGAAGCAACGCTTTCACAACATAGTTTACAATTATAACACAAATAAAATCTTTATCCAGTATGTTATTTTTAATTAACAGAAGTTGTTTTTTCTCTCAACGAGATAGGTCTTACGAATATGTCACACTTTTTGCATTTTTCACGCTGAGTTCTTATTGACGACACGAACGAGACGTGTAAAATGATATCCTGAGGAGCGGCAGTTCACCAAAAATAATTTATCTTGATGTCCTGCTTTAAATGTCACATGGTTTGTATACGGCGATAGGTATACGCGCCGCGGTATCGCACTGGGGGTGACAAGCGGATGAATCATATGAAACGACACTTGTGTGACTACTGCCAATCGGATGAAACGCATGCAATCTCTACAGTGTTATGTGCAGCATTATGCGGGAATAAACGCAGAGACGTATTATCAAATACGTGCGGATTGTTGCATCACCGCGGCGCTCGGTACTATAGGTAGAATGACGCGAATCAGGATAAACGCATTACACAAATCTGAGTATGCCCGAAAATTATTTCCGTCCATCTCTAAAACAATGGAAGTTTTACATAATAATTTATTAAATAGATTTAATCCTAATCCGTAGAGAATAAAAATATTTTATTCGCTTATACTTTTGCTCGCTGTAATAATTAATTATAAACGCTGTAAATAAATAACGAAATAATTTATAATTTAGCGGATAAAAAAGATTTAAGAGTTTAATGTATGTAATCTAGAATTTAATATATTTTAGATATGGATGTGCGTGAAGAGGAATAAAATTTAATTTTTGATCGTCGTTTTTTCCTGTTACGAATGTAAAAAAAAAATTATTGAACGTGTTTCATATCGAAAGTCAGCTTACACCGCATGCGTTAGCGTAATAATGTAACAATATAATAAATAATTGTAAATTGAGTATCATTACGAAATAATGTATCGATAACGAAAGAGATAATTTCAGAATTTTCGCGAGTTGTGTAACTACTAACCACAGTCTTCAATGACACACAGCGTTTAGTTCAAATGTCATGTAACCGAGTATTTCGTTTCGTCGTCTTGAAGTCACTTCAAAGCTTAAAAAAAATAAAAATAGAAATAGAAAAAGAACGACAGAAATTGTTTTTACGAAGGAATCAATTTCTATTTTTGTAGAAAATATAGGGCGAGTTTTTATTCTCGTCGATGAAAAATAAAACAGGTAGCCCACGGAGGATCTTTTTACACGTTTACACATACGCCGCGAATATGAAACATTATATACGGTTTAAAATTATGCACGTTAATGCCGTCGCACGTACGTGCTTGTCAGTGCAATGTATTATCGTCGTGCGCGATGACATAACGTTTCTAACGTGTCAAAACAACATTATGTACGTGACAAGAGAACTTTGGAGATCGGTTTAAAAAATTCCATTTAATCTCCGTTTAATCCCGATAAGGCAACATTGAAAAGCAATCTCATTGCGCTGCAATTTACAGTTCGCGCCGCGTTGTTTATTGTTTTTCAAATGACTCAGATACGCCAGATCGATCCATAAGAAAAATAGATTTCATTGAATAAATCGCCTATCGAGTTCGATAATTAGTTCCGCTTCGCTTACGTCTTTATGATCCTAGAAATCAATCGGAGACTCGTACTTCTCGTGGAGAAAATACGAAATATTTTAGCACGGTCGCGAGATTGAATGAAATGTATAACGTTGAAGCACAGAAGTTATTAAAAATATTTTTCTCATTGTAACGTTTCTTTCAAGAACATACCGCTTCGTGCTTCGTTATTAACGTTGACAATTACGTTTAATTCTCTCGAGAGTAATTCTAGAGTTAATTGCTCCTAATTGGCGATATGTAACATAATCCTCGTAAACTCCGTGCCAATGGCGTATATACCCATCATTATTTACGAGCTTTGTTTAAAGTTCGGTATCTTGCGATAAGGCTGTTGTTTAACACGTAAACATTATCCTAGATAATATCGCGGAAGTGCTTGGAGGTTCCCTTGTGTGGCATAACAGCTTGATATCATCGCTCCCTGTTTTGATTCATGACGCGACGTAATGATGATTTAATACTTTCCGGGTTAGAAAAGCGACGTAATAGTTTTACACTTTCCGGGTTAACAATATAGTCTAGGGAGCGTGTCGGATAGCCGAAAAAGCGACGAAAGAGCCGCGGGGAGGGAAAAAAGAGCAAAAGTCACGTGTAATTGCACGGAAAGAGTACTTTGTCATTCCTCGGGCGAGATTTACGGTCATGTAATATAGCCGCTCAGATGTGTATACGTGTGTATGTGGGTATGTATGGGAAGGAAGACTTAATGGGAAGACCGGCACTCACGAACAGGTGCGCGGGTTTACCGCGCGCGCGTGAAATAATCGCGCGTGTCGTCGCCGCTCGCTAATTTGCGAGCGGTCGGCATAACGTATGCAAGGCATCGCTTCCTATACGTTCGCTGCATTAATGTGCAGCTCTCCTAGGCAGCGCGTGCGGCACACGTCAATTAGGTCACGGCTCGCGTTCTATTTCGGTAGGTAGGGGAAACACGACCCTCTCGCCCTCTCGGCCCCCGGAGGAGGCGCGAGAGAGAGAGAGCGGAGATTCAGTTTCTGTGAATTCGTTTCGTGGAACCCTCGCCCTCGTCTGGCCCTCCCTCTTCTCCCTCCCCCCTCCCCCCCGATAATATAAACGTAATCGACTCTAATTCCTCACTTATTTATGCCGTCGTCTATTTACCACGCCATCCCAGCCTCGGGGGTTCTTATCCGACCCCCTCGTCGACGTCCCCCTCCCCTCCTTCGATTAAATATCCACCGGCACACGACACCGCCAACTACGTCCCACAAACCGCGGTCTGTCCCCCTCTCCCTTCTCCCTTTTTTCTCCCTCCTCTCCTCCTCTCCCCCCCGTCTAATCGCGGGGTCTTTCCCCTTCGTGTATTATTCCGAGCTTTTAATGCATCTTTCATCTAGCGGACAGCGCGCGATAAATTGCCGGCGTATCGATTTCAGAACACAGCGTCTTACAGTATGAAAGAGCAAAACGAGCAGAGGATGACAGATATAGAGGACATTGACTCGCCGGGCATGGGTATTCGTGTGAGAACTACCGCCCCGGTGTGTTACGGGAGGAACATGACATTTCCTCGGCCGACTTCGTCTTACGCACATAGGCACGAACTTCCAGCTATAGTGACCGAGGGAGAGAGCTGCAGACTTCTTGCCGAGGTAAGGGACGCGGCGACGCTAACGTATTGCCGTATATTACACTTGTTCGTTATTACCTCGGCGCGGGTGACACTAAAGTCTCGCGTATTTAGACCCACCCCGCGGGCCCACGATGTTCTTAATTAGATCCCCCTCGATCGTCGGTACCGCAAGACGGGATATTGCGATCTAGTTGGGAAACATAATTACCCGGGTCTTGTTCAATCCCTACTCTTGGTGGCAACCGGGCGATTCTCAGACCGTGGTTATGAAATTGTCTCCCCCTTTGCCCTCCCCCCTGCCTTTTGCGCAGCGGCGCGAGTCTCTTTGTTTCTTCCCGTCTCTCTTTCTTCTTTTTTTTACATCGCATAATCGTATCGCTATTTCGCGATCGCGCGGTAGTACCTCTCGCGCTCGATCAGCCACCTCGGAGAGAAACGGATTACGCAAACGGACGGCGCGCGCGCCTCCGTTTCTGCTTCTCTCGTTCGCAGCAGCAAGAGGGTAATTCCTGCAGCGACGGCCAGCTGTCGGGCGTGATGCCGGACGTAGCGATGGCGACGGCCTCCTTCGGCGCTCTGCATTTGATCGAGGAGCAGGAATTGGAATTGGATCTCGGTGACGGGGCGTCGCACCTCCTGCCGCACGTCTCCCCGTCCGGCGGGGGCAGCATCGAGCCGGCCGGCCACCGGTCGTCGCTTCCTCATCAGCATCAAAGGCACTTCTCCGGCCCGCCGCCCCCACCTTACGTGTATCATCGTGCTGGCACTGCCTTACCGAGGTTTATTTGAAATTTATATATGATATGCGGATGGAGCGAACAACGTGGCAACTACTGACGATCCCCCTTTTGCGCCCCCCCCCCCCCTATCTCTACTTCTCTTTCTCTCACTCTCTCTCTTTATTCCCCTTTCGCCCCCTTATTATTACATAGCCTGCTCCTCTCTTTCTCTCTATCATAGCGTGTATCGATCAAACCTTGTTATTGCGGGTACAAATTTATTACAAGGATAATTGTATGTACATTTTTATTTAAAGCAAGCTTGAAAAAAAAAGGGTAGAAAGTACTTGGTTTAAGAGTATCCGTAATCTTACCGGATCTGGAAGTTACACCCTGTGAGCACACAAAAAGAACCTTGATGCTTATCGAGTACGACGTGAACGTATACAGAGTATACGGAGGTTTCACGCTCCGTACAATCTATATATATATAAATATAAATATATATATATAAATAAAAATAAAAAGTATAAATATATATATATTATATATATAAATGTAACGATTAAGTGCAATCGTGTATGAGAAGAAAATTGCGATTGTGATTTATACATATAAAAATGTAATCGTGATATGTGCATGTGGGTGTACTTATGTGTATGCGTGCGCGTATGCGTGTGTATATGGGAAAAAATAACGTGTGTGTTCGCGCGGTTCCGGCTTCCGAAGTGTCAAGACTGTTAGCAGGAAAGTCTCCGGAAGGAAAGAGAACAAAAGAGAAACGAACGAGGAACAATGTACGGGATATTGAATTAAAGAAAAAAAAATCGCGCCTTGTCACATCACCATCCTTATGCTCCATATAAATATAATTATTACAGGAAAGTGAAAGTGCCGCGTATTCCCGCGTACATTTGTTGTTTCTTCTCTGTGGAAAAGCGAGAAAGCGTAGCGGCGACGGCGACGACGACTAAGTACGGCGCGGGCGGCGGCGGGCGGCATGGCCGGGCAACGGCGGCTACTCACGCGAGCAGCGGAGCTGCGAAGCGCTTGATGACATTTTGCCATGCTAAACTTTTTAATTTTTCCTCTCTTCTAGGGCAGTTTCGATGTATGACGGGCTATAGTAAGACTGTAAGTACACAAGAGGAATTCAATCGATAAAACATATATCGCGCGCTTAGAGATGACGTCCGGGGCGCCTCGGGTCGTAAAAAGCGTGCGTGACGTTCATGATATTTAATGGGTTAATTAATTATCGCTAAGTGCCTGGGTGCATGAGAATTTTCTAAGAAAAAGTTTTCCATGAATTTAAATGTATACGCTTCCGCCGGCCTTGCCCCGCCGCGGCTCTGTAATATATCCACAAACAGGGTACGTACTATATACAGGGTGACCCAGAAGTCGCGTATCATCTTCGAACGACAGCCGATGAAGGTACGAAAAAAAAGAAAAACCACGGCGCTCCAATTCCGGGATATTATTTTTTAATTATATGCCCGATCGAATCGCGCGTATAAGTAATTCTTGGAAAAGTTCGAGAGATACCTAAATGTATAACGAAATATTATTCGTTGCGTAATCTCTCAAGAAGAATTTAATTTAAACGGAAAGCTAAACCTCTTCCGATTTAGGGAGATGAATTACCGAAACGCTAATAACAGAAAAAATAAAAACTAGAGAATGGCGCAGTTAATTGAATTGTCACTAATTCTTTTTTTTAGATAAACGATCGACCACACGGCTCGGTTAATGATGAATTTGCAACGAAGTTTGTTTCTGGGTTACCGTGGCGTATTTCGTTCCGCAAAAGTCGTAAAATGTCAGGCTGTATTTCAATACTTCCGTGCGAGTGGTAAACGGTGGAAAACTAGTCACTTTCACTTTCGTTGAAGCAACAACGATCATCAGGCGGGAATTAATCGCTCTAAGCAGATTAATATCGACCGATAGTAATTATTCCTTATTTAATATGGCTCCTCGGTGTCGACATGGGATGTAATTATCATTAAGATACTCGATTATAGAGTTCGTATATATATATATCAAAGAATTCCTTTACCGTCCTTACGTTAAGTATCTGAAATTATTATTTCCTGCGTATACATATATATATACATATATGCAAACCCCGCGCCCGTAAATTAACTTTATCAATTGTAATTACATGCGTTTCGTTATATATGCTTCGAAGAAGCATTTCGTCCTTAGGCAGAAATGAAATTCTCGGCGTTGTTATCGCCGCTGGTATATAAATTGTGATATTATTCGTGAAAGTCATTGAGTTCGATCATTGGTAGTTTATAAATCAATTTCACTTGTGCAGACCTGGATTTAGAAGGATATACGATTACTGTAAAATATCGTTAACTGTAACGCGATTCTCTCACGTATAAGCTATAAATACCGATCGTCTGCTTTGTAAAGCGTATCGCTCGCGTTTCACTATCTTGCGAATCGTAAAATTAATTGAATCTGTATATCTGAAACTGATGTCAGATCGTGAATCCACGACGGGTGTCAAGTTAATATCAAGAGCGGAACGCGGCGGGTTCGTGAATTCACGATCGATTGGCTCGAAGAGAGTTATATGATTTAAATAAAGCAACTAGACCAACTTTTAAGACCAGAATAAAAGAATAGTTATCACGTAGATAGATTAATATTGTATAGACTGAGGTATATTCGCGAGAGTAGTATTTTGACATTCGTATAGTTCGTGCGTCGTAAAAAGAAAAGGAAAAAAGAAAAAAAAACAATCTAGGTTCTTCCGTTCGCGACATTCACGCGGTTTTCCCTTCTTTTCCTTTTCCTCCGAAATTGTTGATTTTTTGTAAGCCTGTCACGAGAGGTGTTGATTACGTTTCGCTGAAAAATAAAATTTTCGGACAGTTTATCTTTTTTATGACTCACACACACACACACACGATATATAGATGGCTCGCTAAAATATATTTAAAAATAAAGTTTAATAAATATTTCAGCAATGGAAAAGAAAAAAAGGACTCGCCGTTTATTTCTCCGTTTCCCAGCGCGATTCGCGGTATAGAGGTTTGCGTAAGTGTCCGTCATAAGTAACCGTCGGCGAAATCGCGAGATTTATCCCCGCGTCCAACTCTCTTTTTACAACGTCAAATAATAAACGCGTTACGTAAACAGGCGCACTGTTTTTAAACAAAATACCCGGAGACCGCAAAAATACACCGGAGCGGATATGCTTAGGGAACGTCAGAACTTTCCCGCGCCATTACTCATACCAAATTTATGTAAAAGCGTTGTACATACCCGTAACGGGGCAAGGAGAATATATCGCCCCGGCAAAATCCAGCCTCAACCATATTCCCTCTTGACGTCACACACCGACCGCGACCGCGCTTACACGCGCGTACAACAGATCGACGGGCTGCACCGCATAATTCAGCATGTAAAGTCGACGATGACTTGTGTGCCACGTTCAGGTGAAAATTCCAGTCGGCCCTGTATTTTCACCGTTGCGCAAAAATAACTCGCGCGTCGCGCGAGGACCTTATCAGCGTAAATCCAGCGTTTAATAGTGGCGAACAAATTTACAGTGAATAATAAGCAGCTGGAAAATAAACAGCGGGCGATTCTAATCTCTTCGCGTCCACAATTTAAATTTTCTTAAAATATAATTCTCCGCGATGAATGCGTTGTAAAGTGTAAAATAATGGTATCCCTTCCGAGTAAAACATCGATGTGCGTTGCCACTTGTTACGTAAGTTGCACATTCGCTTCCTCGAAATTGTTAACAGCTTTCGTTACGGATGTTCAAGTGTAGCTTCTTGATTTAGGCTTCAGTTCGCGTGATTGCATCGATTTACGGGATGTTACGTGTTTTTTCTTATAACGCGAGTTTAACTTTAACGACAGATTTCCAGATATGAAGTTGATTTCTTCCTTGGTAAAAAAATATGTCGAGATACTAATGGTTTTCGAGTTAGGAATGATTGACGAGGCAGTTTTTTTGCGAACGAAACTTTGCAAACAGATAAAATCTGTTTGCTCTTACAAGGAAATTTATACATGTAATATCGAAACATTCCATTTCTATTTCAAGCACATAAAATAATAAGAGACACGTATTTCTTTACAAATGTTTTCTCGCGCGTTTCAGAATTGATGAAACAACTTGAAGCTAACGAAGTAGGATCTGATTTCGAGTGGATCGTTAAAGCTGTGAAATATAATTTATATATTTTATACAAAAGTTTTATAGTATTTAATGCACTTTATAATCGCGTTGAGTCTTTTCAAAACGTCATGTTTCTCATTATATTTCTCACTATTTTCGTGAACTCCAAAAATCAACGATAAAAATGCATTTTTATTGAAATAATTCTATTGGAAGATTTCCTTTAAAAAGAACTTTTCTATCATATCACTTTGTTGATGTAGTTTTGATGAAATTACACACATATCCCCTTGTTATGAAGAAAATATTATTGTATTCCGCTCCTCGTATAGGAAATATCGGAAAGCTCGAATAATGTTGAGCTCGAGGAGATAAACCCATGAGATTCGACCATGACACGTTTGGATATCTTGAAAAGATAGAGAACCAGGAAAGTGTTATCTTGCAGCTGCAGAAAAAGTTATTATCGAGTAGCATATGCGCAGTATTGACGCGCAACGCGTGTAACATATATTATTTTAATTCTCTAAAACGCAAGTTTGCGAAATAACACTGTTATACATACATAAAGTTACGTAAAATATTTTGATGTGTGAAATAATCTTTATTTTTACACAAATATTGAAATTTATACAAATAATGGAATGATATTAAAAAGTGTAACAGTTTTTAAGAAACTGAATGGTTGTAAAGTGCATTAAATATCATGAAACTTCTGTTTCAAACATTTTTCCATTTCGATTCGTTTGAATTAAAAATCGAAGCTTCAACGAATTAAAAAAAAATTTAAATTTTGTAAAAAACTACGAGTCTTTTATTTTTAATTGTTCTGTAACTTATACCCGAATATGTCTGCTGGTTAATTTAAAAAATATTTGGATCTATTGTTTTTGCTAGGGCACCTTCGTTGCATGAAAGCTTAATTACGAAAACATGTGACGTCGAAAATCGAAAGCAGCGATAAATGGTGACTTCTGACATTTCCACTAAATAAAAATCAATTTTTAGATTAGTCGGACTATCAAAGTCACAAGTTGTGGAACGCTCTATATTTAGCACTAATAAAAAATATATGTGCGTATTATAGTCCTGGCAACTATAATTCGACAACGCACATTTTAGTTTTGCTCTTACGCAATCGAGAATCGCGTTTTACGTGTCATTATGATCTGTTTAAACATTCAGGTATATCGGATGTGAAGTATAAATTTAACTTTGCGTGAGGCCACTTAACTTCTTTTCGTAAAACATTAAGTCGGTTTTTCCCCATATAGGTCATTCATCTTTAATTCAAGGTATCATAAATAATCTCTCGCACGTTATAAAACTATATATAAACTGTATAAAATATAACTTATGATCGTCAATATTATCATCGTTACAATTTTAAATGAAGAAATAGGATAAAGTTATTAGGAATACTGGGTTTTCTCATCGTATATTTTCGAAAGAAGAGTTTCAGAAGATTGAAAACAATGCAACTTATATGTTTTATAGATAAGATAAAACCATAATTTTCAAAGTCTGAATCGTAGTGCACGATTATAGCGCATCTCGAAGTATTAAAATCTTATATTTTTGCGCAGAAGATACGCATAAAATAATTATGACGCTTCTTTTTTCGATGTGAATAGAACACAGGTGAAAATGTTGCTGGAGGGCGCGAAGGCACTAACAAGTTTTCAATTACACACGAACAGCAGTATGTTCAATGTTTATTTCTCTCTGTAAAACATCGCTGGTACATCGATAAATGGTACACCAATTGCATTAATTTGCATATGTTTATGTTAGACCTAGAAAACGAAGGAAGTTGTCATGAGGCACAATTTGAGTCTTGCCCCCGATATTCTTTTCGATCTGTGGAGGATCGGCGATACCGACCGAATGATGCAATTATATCACTTATCACTCTATCAAAAAGAGCTTTTACGATATTGTAACAAAATAACAAATAGATTACGTCTAAATTAATTAGTAATAATAGTATGCGTAGTACTGTGGCTCCTTCAACCCTTCACTCCTCCTTTCGTGTGTCTCTGCAACATAATAACAGCGCGATAAGATAAATTGTATTGTTTCTAACGCCTATGTTACCTCGACTGAATTTACATAGTTAACGCCGTGTTGGCGTTAATTACCATAGCGCAGCTCACGAGTATTACCGCGATTATGGTTTGAAGCGTGCACACTTACCGCAAGTTGTTCCTTCTCCTTGCGTCCCACGATCTTACAACGAGGCTGTTCAATTCCGTGAAATTGGTTGCAAACGCAATCTTGTTCAATTTCGACACTCGTGAGGTCCTCGACGATCTTTCTAGCGGTAACTTGAGAGAACTGCCTCTTCTGATTCGGTTTAGCGTCCACCAAATTGCTGGAACTGAACGCCGCTCCGCCAGACTGCAATAACGTTACGGTGTAATAACCGATTACTCTTCATCATTTATTCTTTATGTATTTAGGGTAATCAATTTATTCATTAATTCAAAAATTATCTCTTCGAGATGCTTAAGTTGATTCTCTTTTTTGTTTCTTTGCGTACTTACCGCGATAGCAAAGTCGGCACACACGTCAACCGTAGGGAGAACCATGTTGTTTCTAAGCTCGGTGTTTCCGCTCAGTGGCTTCTTCTTGTTGTCGCCGAATACATATACGCTGTCGCTATCGTAACCGACAATACTCTTTTGCGCTTTGCCGGAGACCTGGATGTCATTGGTATAGTATATGTGATAGTAAGTCAGACCCAAATCTCGGTACACCTTCTGTCCAATTATAATCCTCAATTGTTGCAACTGAAAAATCAATTTGAAATCCCTCTGTTAACGTTGATAAATGAAAAAATGAAAGTATTACGCTACGATTCTACAGTAACGCATAACTAAGTAGGAAAGTCTTTTCCATCAATGGTTTATTTCTAGTTTCCATCAGCACCTAACTTTAATTAGCTTCTCGTTTTTGTCTGAAATTACATTTCGCGAAAGTAAGAAATATAAAATAAATAACAAATTGTAGTTGCAGTTAGGCGATATTTGTGAAATCATTCGTAAACTTGTAATACGTTCGATCCATCGACTGACTTTAATAAATAATAATTAGTGATACAACGAGATCGTGAGTGGAAGCTCACCGATATTGGCAGTGGACTCTTCTCGCAGGGGGTAGCGAGGACTGAGACGACAGCTTTGACCGCGCCAGGTCTGAAGGGATAGTTAATGGCTTCCTCGTAGGCGTCGGTCAATTTGAAGGTGCCAAGCTCCAGGTCTAGTCTTTGCTCGAGGTACTTCACTTTCTTCTCGATATCACCTTTCTTGGCCTCCTGCGAACATCCCCAAGTAACTCGTATATCAAAGAGATCAGATCTTTCTATTTTAAATCTTTCTCTTATAATTTCGTAAAATTATAAATTACCTCCAAAGTAATAATCGGCTCTTCTGGCTTCTCAAATTTCATGTTCTTCACCTCGCCCTCAATGTTGGTACTACCGCCGGTGGTGTAATGTTGCGGCCATTTCATGTGCTCGGCGTAACCGATCAAGCCGATGTGAACATCCCTGTTAAGACATAATCAATATGAATAAAAAGTTAAAGAAATATTACAATACGTTAACATCGCAATATGAATCTATATGCGCATTCTGATCTTTCAAACGCCTTCTAGATATCTTTACAACTGATTTCTGTATTTGTGGAAAGTAGTTTCAATATTTTTATTATAATTATAAGAATAATGTTTACATACGTTATGCCGTGTTGTTTCAGTTCTTCTCTTAGATCGGTTATCAGTGATGGAATCAGATCTTTAAAAACTTTCTCATTCTCCTCAACTTGTTCGATTACCAAAACAATGTCGGCTTGATTCTTCGGGGTTTTAACGCTGAAGGTATCACCAACGGCAATTGTGTTCTCGCCAACTTTGCAGGTTGCTAAAATATTATGGTACACATTAAAATATTTCTCTTCTAAGACTCGGTGTCTCTGTCTGTTCTTTAAATCTCTCGTAAGTATTGTAAATCAATCGTTTATGTAAATTTACAATTAACACAAATATTTAATATAAAATATTCCCATATCGCGTGCGTCTCAAATAAGTTTTTTTTTCCAATGAGAGATTTTGGTTTTCCTTGCATTAATATTGTTTTAACATCACATTCGACTTTGTGCTTTGTAAAGTAGTACAAGTCAACAATTTAACTTACTGCAAATGGATGGAATGCTTATTCCGGAAACACGCTTATAATAGCAACTGGCGTAATAAGCGGTGGCGAGCAAGCAAGGAGCTTCCGGATTTCCGTTAGCCGCAGCGTCGCAGGCATCTCGGTAATGACTCGGATGAACGTAGTTGAAGCACTTTCTAAAACATCATGGAGAAACATCATTTCCAAGTTGCCTTTAAGTTAACGATAAAATGGTTATGACGATTATATTGTCTCGAACATTCGTGGAATACCGTCTCAAATGTGTAATACACGGGATGTCGCAATAGGATTTCGAGATATGGATTATATCCCAAGAACTACTTTCTAACGCGATAAGTATATACTTTATCTTATCGTCCTTTCACAAACTGCTTTATTAAATCTCTCAAACATCTGAACAACTGGACAAATTAAAGCAATGCTAATTTTAATTTTTCATCCGAAACAGCTAAATTTGTGGCATTATATTTTCTCTATGTAAATCTGACAATTCGATTTAATCGTGTCTTTTTAAATGGCGAATGTACTTACTTCAACGGAGACTTCTGGCCGGAGAAGTAGTCAGTGCAGACTGGATTACGTTGCTTCGCCTTGTGATCGATCGCGTTCACAGCCGCGCAATCGGGCTTCAGTTTGTATCCGTTAGCAAATTCAGTCTCGCTCTCGGTAATCTGTTTCAATTGCGAGAAAGGCGCTTTTAGAGATCACTGCAAGCACTGCAATTTCTTACCCTTTACGATGTAAGATCCTTTCGTTGTAAAACACTCGTCATATATTTACTTTTGCTTTCAAAAGTGGAACATTCAATTTTATTCTCGCGGACAGAAGACGAAATGTTTGCATACTGAAATATGACGTACTTCATCTTTTCACTTAAGAAACGCAGATTATAGAGAAACGTTAACTGTTTTCCAGTTTCGCGCGCAAACTACGGACTTAGATATCTATCTCGCAACGAAAGAAATACTGATCCCCTCGGGAATTCGTGATCCCTTCGGAAAAGAATGCCGTTCCACGTAGACATTTGTCTATCGATCGAAGCGAAAACTTTTGAATAAAAGTATACAAAAGTATAACCAAGAACATGATTTATAGTCCGGCGATATTACCGCAAGGTCTTATGAATAGAAGCGCGACGCCGAGAAAATAAGGGACGAGCTTGCGAGAGTAGATTATATTAAATATTTATAACGTGTGTACATTTTTCATTTCACTTCCAGCGTACTTAAGATATCAATTCCAACCCTTCTCATAATAGAATTAATTTCAGAAGGAGAGAATATTTTTTATTTATATTATTCTGTATATGTAAAGTGGCCGCTTTTGTAATAATTAAAAAATAATTTATGAAATTATCGTTAACAAAATCCTTTTAAGAAATATTATGCGACAGTACAACCGTCCTTTCGCCTCTGATATTCTGCACGAGAGGCAATTTATTTAACAGTAAAACAAGCTACACACTCACCTTTCCAGACGGCAACGTGTAGTCGTCGTAATATTCGTTGTTGCCATCACCGAGAAGACCGCGTAATTTTCCGTGATAAAAGCCGGACACCCGGACCGTGCAAAGCATAGATTGCTTGCGAGTGCATAGGACGTGCACACCGTAGTTAGACTTTATGTTCATAGTCCTGTAAACGAGGAACGCGCGCAGATTCTTCGTGCTGGCTGGGAAATCAGCCGGTTTGCTGTTCACCAGGATCTGGAAAAAAAGAGAGAAACGCGCGAAATGCAGTCGTGTGCGTGAACGTCGAGAGAGCTAGAGGGATTTCTTAAAAAAAAAAAAAAAAAAAA